AACTTTAGATTTCTGTGTAGTGTTTAATGGATCTGTTTGGTTTTTTTCTTGTTATTTTTTAATATGGTAAGGATATTAGTTGTTCTTGATGAAATAGTTGGCATAAGACGATTTCGGTTATTTTGTGCAGTCTTTTTTTGTGGTTTCGATCGATGTCTTTAAATATTAATTTGTCTTTTCTTACTTTCAGATTTGAACAGACCTAGTGCTTATGATTATTCCATATAAATGTGTCTTATACAATGAAATTGTCATCATATTTTTTTTACATTATATGAAATAAAAGGGTTTAAATGCAAATCATCAAATCTCGCTCAACGAAATCTTATATGTACAAAATGATGAGAAACTAAAATTAGATTATTTACTGAATATTATTAGAAAACGGATAAGGTCTTGTTTATATTCTGTCTGTTACCGTTAAATAAGATTTGTGTCGGTTGTTTGTTAAATTAAGGATGGTTATGAAGTTCTAAAAGTGACCACACTGCTAGTTAGTAACCTAATTTTAGATGTCCTTTCTGATAGATTACTTAACTAAATTTGTTTTGTTGATTAAAAAATTCATTCATATACAGTATATGCAGATAGACTATTGACCTTAGTCTTGTCAATTGACTAGGTTTTTTTTTCTTCATTGACCTTAATGCTTGTCAATTGACTGTTTTTTTTTCTTCAAAGCTTATTGTTTTACAATATTAGAAATGTATGAACTAAACTAGATTCATTGGTACAGTATTGCTTTTTAGGTTACGTCTAATAACATTTCTGTAGATTCTGATCCTGTTCGTAAAATCAATGTCATGCCAAACAATGGCAGTGTTTAACTGTAACAAGATAAAATAAATGTCAGTATCAATGATACGTGTTATCTTTTTTACTGCAAGATAAGTGTAGATTACGAAATCGACAAATTTAAGAGAGAGGTGGAAGATACCAATGAAAGGAATAGTCAAACATAAATCGAAAACAGACTAAGTCAGGAATCTGATGTTTAGTAGTTGTCGTTTGTTGATGTGGTTCATAAGTGTTTCTCGTTTCTCGTTTTTTATATAGATTAGACCGTTGGTTTTCCCGTTTGAATGGTTTTACACTAGTAATTTTTGGGGCCCTTTATAGCTTGCTGTTCGGTGTGAGCCAAGGCTCTGTGTTGAAGACCGTACTTTGACCTATAATGGTTTACTTTTATAAATTTTGACTTGGATGGAGAGTTGTCTCATTGGCACTCATACCACATCTTCTTATATCTTTTGACAACAACATATGGCAAGAAAACCACGAAAAACTACCAAGTTTATACAGAGACAAATAAGTCTACAAAGCACAACAAAGAAGCTAAAGACTGAGCAACACGAGTCCCGCCAAAAAATGGGGTGATCTCAGGGGCCTCGGAAGTAGTTAAAAGTTAGAAGTTAGGAGAAGGAGGGAAAAACGTAGTAGATTATGCATATTGACATTTAGAAAAACTTATTTACCCCTCCTTCTTGCTTGATCGTTTGCCTACCCCTCTGGCAGCAACCGCGTTGTTATATTTTAAGTTTCTTTTCGGCATTTACTGAATGAGATATTGATTAAAGAGTTCTGAAAATCTTGGAGATTTTATTCGAAATTTGAGTCGATGAAGAGATTGAAAAATTGCATAGACCTTTGTCTATTGTTGACTTACACAGGTCTTGTTTGTTTGTTTTGTTGGGTTACTGTCTCCCTGATGTAAACCAGACAACTCCTATTATTTAAAACCATACAAATCACTGGCAAAGGAAACTTTGGTGAAAAGTTCGCCATTTAATCCGAGGGATGGAGAAGGGGTGCTGGTATAATTACATGTTCTGTTTTTGGTTTAATAAGCAGATCATGTTCTTCTGGTGTTACATACATGTTTAAGCGTTCGCAAAGAAAGAAACGAGTTCTGTTTGATATTTAGGTATGATAAAGGCTATCTCTTCTGAATTATCAGAACAAACGGGTTACAATTTCAATTTAATTTCAAATTGCAATCCTTATTCTCTTTAGAAACAGATAGAATAAGGTTGTAAAAACACCGATTCGAATACTAAAATGTCAAGAACTACTTGACCTATCTACAATAAAAGAAATTACTTTGCATAGACACAATTGTTATTCGAGCACCTAATACTTTTAACATTTTTAAAGTTCAGTTTGTTATTTTTTGTGTACTTTACACACAAAATAATACGAAGGTAATAGTATAGTCAAAATAGGAAATTAAAATTATTTTAAAAGATATCTATCAAAACTGTCTTATCATGAAAAACTTAAAAGATGCGATTGAAAGAATTTTCGGAGATATTTTTGTTACCAATAAAAAGGTACACAAAAAAAGTATATTCGAAGATATATGTGTCAACAATGAAAAGGTACACAATAGTGGTTTATGAATAAATCCCAAAACGCCTTAATAAATGCGCATTTGGTTCCGTTGATGTTATTCACTTTGCAAAAATATTATTTTCCGTTTGCACGTATGCCGGTCCATGAATCTTGACCACTAAACGCCCTTTTCTATATTGTCACTCTTCTACTACTTGCATAGATACTAATAACGAAATTTGAAATAACTTCTGTGTTCCAGATATAGATTACCTTCTGTCCGATTATATAGTCTTAGTTTAAGTATGAATAATGTGTTGTCAGTGAACATTTTAAGCTAAAATTATACTGTTTTTTCAAGGAATAACAGTACTGTAGTTGAAGAGTTGCCGTCCTAAATTGGCGATTTGATGATCGCAAATGCAGTTTTCAAATCCTAATTGACGACGGCAACTCGTAATAATACATTAGAACTTGAAGAATATCTATGAATTTGAAATAAAATAAAATTCCGCGAAAATTCACTAATGATTTTGGCGCATAAACGTTATGGCTATACTGTTATTGTTCAATCGTAGCGTCCGATATTGTTGTGATGAACTGTGGCTCTTTTTACAAATAATCTTTCAACTAAAACCGATCGTGAGTTTTACTGATATGTTAACTACTTACGAGTATTTTTCATCGTAAGAGCTTTTGTGAAATTAGTCGCTGACTATAACGGACGACTGCATAGTGTATGTTGATCTCTAGATGTCTGCATGTTGACCTCTAGATGTCTGCATGTTGATCTTTAGATGTCTGCATGTTGACCTCTAGATGTCTGCATGTTGACCTCTAGATGGCTGCATATTGATCTCTTGATGTCTGCATGTTGACCTCTAGATGTCTGCATGTTGACCTCTAGATGTCTGCATGTTGATCTTTAGATGTCTGCATGTTGACCTCTAGATATCTGCATGTTGACCTCTAGATATCTGCATGTTGACCTCTAGATGTCTGCATGTTGTCCTCTAGATGTCTGCATGTTGTCCTCTAGATGTCTGCATGTTGACCTCTAGATGTCTGCATGTTGATCTTTAGATGTCTGCATGTTGACCTCTAGATATCTGCATGTTGACCTCTAGATGTCTGCATGTTGTCCTCTAGATGACTGCATGTTATCCTCTAGAGGTCTGTATGTTGACATGTTAAATAGACGATTGTATGTCCGACCTCTCCGTCTATTTATATTTAGGAAGCATCAGCTATTTTGAAATAAAAACCCTATTCAATCAATTTTAGTGCTTTAAGATACCACAGGGACATTCAAACTCTTTAAGTCGAAAAAAAAACTGACACCGCCATGGCAAGAAACGAAAAACGACCTAAAGACAAGCAACAATATACAAACCGCAATGTTTATTCACGCAGGGAAACATTTTAATTTGTTTCAACATCATTATAATAATGTATTCATATATTTACATGCATATTGTATACCGAATATCTCGAGGTATCTCATAAAGTATGTTTAAAATAGGGTTTGATGTGATGCCTTCTCTACTTCATTAGTTTATTCTTGTCAGGTTATTAAGGACTCATCTTTATGACAGATGACGACATTAACTTTCCTTTTCGTAATCTCGTGAAAGTGTGTCCCTTGTGGTTGGTGTTGACATATTACAGTTGATTCGCTTCCCGAGATCATATATTCATAATGATTACTTCGACGAGAAAATGATTGTTTTAGAAACTCAATCAAGGTTAATATGTTCAGTCATAATCTGTAATGTGCGCGTTTTACAAATGCCGGACTTTTTTGTATATACTTGTGTACACACACATACACACACACAAACATACACCTTAATATAGTCATAGCGAATCGACTGTGGCATATATAGCAGCAGATGATTACCATGTATGTAGATGTACGTATCTATGTATTGTGTTATGTGGTATAAATGTATCTACGAACAACCTGTAGTGCTCGTGGAGGGCTATCAGTCTAATATTTTGATTTTTCGTTAATGGATGTAGCATAAATCATGCAGTTTCCTAGATTAAAAGTTTTATATCCTGTCATTTTGGGGTCATTCACAGCAAAGTCAAACGTATAGATTTTTCTCATTGTTGAAGGTCGTTCGATGACGTATATCTTAATATGTTTTCCCGTTAGCGACTTTCTTATTGATGGCTGATCTTTGATAGTCGTAAATGTATGCATAATTCGTATACACTCGAAGATTTAGAGCTTGGCTAAGGAATACTATTTTGTCTATTGTTGAAGATTGCATGTTATTTCACTTTAAAGTTTGAAATGAAGACAATTTGTTTAGAACAAAGGATAGAAAAAAATACGATCTATAACATTGTTTCATAAGCGGCAACTCTCGTTAAAACATAATAAGCATATCTAATAACGGTGATGAATTTTGATGAGTAAGACATTGTTATTTTGTAATTCACTTTGTCGTTAAAATTAAATTTACCTACAATTACTTATACATGACTTCTTTGTGAATCAAATATAAACTCTTAATAATATAGATAAATTTTGTAACTTCGTGTGATTTTTTGTTGTTGTTGTATCTAAGATGTATTAATACTTTCTCTATTATACAGTACAAGTGTTCTTAATCTTCAGTATATGTCATTTGTAATGCTATATCTTTCTTTTATTTCAGCAGATCAACAGAGTTCAACATTTTTTGGGATTAATTCAACAACCTCAGAATTTTCTATTTTGACACCACTGGACTATGAATCTAAAATTTTCTGGACATTAAAGGTCATATGCCAGTTGACACAAGAAAAGCTAAGTAGGAATTACACTGCCAACTTGAATGTCATAGTTCAAGATCTGAATGACAGTCCGCCACTTTTTCAAGACGGATCACAAATCAAGTCAATACTTGTCACAAACGACAAAAAGGTATATTTCTTTTAAAGGTTATTTAAGTACATTAAGTTTAAGAATACCATTGAAACTTCAATATATAATTACAAATAAGTGTATTGCATGTAGTTGCACTTTTCATCCCTCCCATCTACGCCAAGATTCAACGGATATTGTGAAATGGCTTAACAAGTCTTCTATACTGCTTTATTTCGTGTCGACTACAAAACCCATCAATCAACTTAGGACGATAAAAATTGATTTAGAGTGCAATTAAACTGTATGATATTGAAATAAAAAAAGGATCTTTTGAAATGCAGTGTAAAGCAAAAGATTGAAAGAACACCTGAACACACTTATCGCGGGAGCGAACGGCAAAAGTACAATCTGTCTATGTTGGACTTTTACCAGGAGTAGGTTTCACAAAAAAAAAAAAAAAATATGACTAAGATTGATCGTAAGTATACTGATTTGTTCATAACTTATGATCAATCTTAGTTGTAAGTTTTTTTTGTAAAACCGACTTCAGGTAATTAAAATAAAAAATGATATTATCAAATGAGTATCATCTTATCAAATTTATAATGATATTTACTCTCATTGCAGAACTGTTCTTATTTTTTACTCTCATTGCAGAACGATTCTTATTTTTACTCGCATTGCAGAACTATTCTTATTTTTTACAAAATTTATCTATATTATTAAGAGTTTATATTTGATTCACAAAGAAGTAACGTATAAGTAATTGCAGGTAAATTTAATTTTAACGATAAAGTGAATTACAAAATAACAATGTCTAACTTATCAAAATTCATCACCGTTATTAGATATGTTTATTATGTTTTAACCGCTTATGAAACAATGTTATAGATCGTATTTTTTCTATCCTTTGTTCTAAACAAATTATATTCACTTAAGCAAGGAAATCATTCGGGCATCGAAAATTCATTGAAAACGTGAATAAAAATGCAATGTTAAATCTTTAATATCTCAAAAATTACAAAAAAAAAAATACTTGTCAAACACTTTCAAGAAAAATCGTTTTCATTTTTTTATGACATCATTATTGTTCTATCAAACACAATACATAAGTACAAAAAGTCTAATCACCACTCCTTTCTGTGTGACTTTGTTGATTTTTGAATATTTTGATGTTTACTTAGCTTTTTACTTCTATTGTTAATAAAATCCTTATTTTATCAAAACTTTTTTAACTATATTCCGAAATATATTCATGAAAGCAAAATTGATATGTCAGAACGTGCATAAGTAGTTTGTAACTTATTGAGAGAGCCGTGTGATTTTTGACAAGATAAAACGTCCATATAATTACGTTGCTGATCTGTTCTGACATTAAAGGTCTCTGATTTGAGCATTTATTTGCACAATGCTTATTATTTCAGATTCATTTCATAATTTCGATTTTTGCCATAGCATTGAAGTTTGTTCTCAGCTTATGAGTTTGAATATATCCCTTTGGTGTCTTTCGTCTCTATTTTCCATAATAATTTATAATCAAAATAGAGATATGTTGCATGATTGACAATGAGACAACTACATGTAACACCCTTAGTCCAAATGACGTGGACGTAAGCAACTATAGGTCAACGTACGGCCATCAGCAATGAGCAAAACCCATACCGTATTTTATATTCGAGCTTTTAAGGGCCCCGCCATGACAAAATGTGAAATTGATATTTTTGTTTACCTGTCTTAAGAGGAACAATTATCACAAACGCATATTCTAAAGCACGAAGTAAACAATTTGTTTTTTTCATAAAAACTCGAAAAACAAGGACAATTCATTCATCAAATTAGGAAAGATGATGATTGCTTCAGTATTCAAGAACAGTTGACATACAGTTTAATAAAGAGGCGCTCAGGTTTTTTCCCTGTCATCTAGAAATGTTAACGGGTATATTAAACCTAGTAAATGTCTGATTAATGAAATTGTCATAAAACCGTCAAGTTTACATCAACCAACGTGATATCATCCCAGTTGAAAAAGTACATTTAATATCGCATTATTGAATTTCCTATAATTTACGATTATTATTATGTGTCAACATATGATATAATAGCAATCCGGATGTAACGATTAAAAATTATGCGGGAAAACATTTGCTCATGGTGTGAAGACAGTAAAATTATCATGCATTTCATAATGATATTGATTTTTAACGAAAATGATAGATGAAGATAGTTAAAAATTTTCATAATTGATTAAGTTTACATTTGATCAACAGCATTAACATTGATATGCGTGCTGTGAAATATGATGCAACTTCCGGTGTATTGACGTAGGTGTATTTCATAAACAATAAAAAGGCACCCCATCAAATTTTAAAGAAGTTTACAATAAACTTGACATTTGAATCCTTCGTCATTATCTTTTTATTGTACAGGGTTATATGCACTTTTAGATGTGCAAGGCATTTTTTTTTATATATTAAACGTCAAATACCATTTTTATGAATAGGCCTTACGCGAAAAAGGATACGCAGATAATATTTCCGAATGAGGTCGCTGTTACAAATTAAAATTTAAAAACTTAATAGGTCTATGCCTATGAATATTCATGTTACCGAAAGACCCAAATGTTTCAAAGCACCTGTTCTACCGTATGCCAAATATGATGTTGTCCGTGCAGATGAAACCACAAACGTTGCAGTTTTTTTTGTGCGCAAATAAATCGCTTGATACAGAAACTAGGTTTTAACAATTCACTAGAAAACTCATCATATACTAATACGACATTTACTAGAGATCAGATCCTGAATAATCATATGTCTGTTCTACGTTCCTTTGAAATTTCGACCAAAAATGAAGAAATGAATCTTCTTTCGTTGTATTGGATAACTAAATAACGTAATGGGCCTTACAGACGCTATGCTGCTGGGTCCTACAAGTGCGCAACAAAACCTACTTCCACGCTATGAACATTAATTTTATCGGCATTCAAAGCAGGACTTTGGAGTTATTGTGAAACTAAATGCTCAAGGGTCGGTGTTAATCTGATATGGATGCTAAAATACTTCAAAAGATATGCTAGGGTACATACAATCTAAGTCTCTTTCCTCTTGCACTAGTATACAAACATTTGACTTGCTAGCCTTTACACAAGTATCCCCCATTCATAACTAGAGATTTGAAAACAAAATTTTTATATTAAAAAAAAAACCAAATATCTTGTTTTAGGGAGGGATAAATCATACTTTGAAAAGAGTCAATGTGATTAAAACAAACAAAAATAACTGAAACGGACATTATCGTGATGCTTTATTTCTTGATTGAAAACATATTTGTAACTTTTGGGAGAAGTCTTTTTAAAAAAAATAATCGGCATTCCCATGGGAACCAACTGTGCTCCTCTGCTTGTCTTTATTCATATGAGGCAGAATTCATACAAAAGCTTCTTAGGAAAAACGAAAAGAAGTTAGTATTAAACTCTAAATTCACGCTCCGTTATGTAGAATGCTGCTCAATTCTCTCACCAAATAATGTAAAGTTTGGAGACTTTATTGAACACATCTATACCATAGAACTCGAAATAAAGGATATTACAGATGCAGTAAAGTCTGCCTCATGCATGCATTCTGAAATACATCTAGAAATTGACAATGAGGGTCGGTTGAGCACAACATTTTGCTACAAAAGAGATGATATTAAATTCCCATTTCTATGTGGCAACGTTCCAGTAGCCCCTTCATAGGGAGTCATATCTCCCAGTTGAAACGATATTTCAGAGTTTGCGTTTGATATCATGATTTCCTTAATAGCCTGTTGCTGCTTGCAAGGAACATATTAAACCAAAGGTTCCAAATGGTAAAGTTGAAGTCATCCCTTCAAAAGTTTTACGGTTGCTGTCAGCAGTTGGTTTATTGTTATAGAATACCTGTGTCACAGATGACTACGGATATATTCTAATTATCGTTACCACAATCCCGTCCTCTTTGCCATATTTGAAGCAGGATCTGCTTACCCTTCAGGATCACCTTAGGGTTTTGTGGGGTTCGTGTTGCTCATCTTTAGTTTTCTATGTTGTGTTCTGTAGAATTTTGTTTGTCTTTTCGTCGTTTTTCGTTTGTGTGTCATGTCGTTGTCAGTTTGTAATGGATATGAGTTTGAATATCCCTTTGGTCTCTTTTGCCTCTATTTCATGAATTTCAGTTGATACATCAAACGGATTTTCTCACTTTTAACAACTAAATCTAAGGCAACTTACTACTAAAAATGAAACGTTGCAAGTTTGAAGCAATTAACTAAATAATGAATAGAACGGTCAATCCAGTGGTCATTTTATTTTCGTAGTATATTATCATTATAGTTTCAATCATTTAATCAATTTTACTTTTACAGATTATTGATTTCATCGTGATAGATAAAGATGATTTTGAATGTGCCAAGTTTTCTGTACAAGTATTCGGAGACCCTCTGGGCATTTGTCACGCTGTACCACCTACTGGATTCCGGGTACAAAACGAAACAGTTTGTAGATTAAGTAAGTGTATAAATCATTTCAATGTTAATAATTAAAAAAGAGAAGGTTAATGTAAACGGTATAGGAGTGCACTCAGCAGTATTGAAATCGTAAGTTATACAGGTCCCAGAGCATACCGAAATGGTCACAAACGAAATGGCAATACAATTGACTACACAAGACCATCTTTTATATTTAGGTCGATACTATTTGGATATATATGATACGTTTTGGACAACGGATGCTATCATAGCTATTTAGTGCAAAAGAGACGGCACCGTTTACTACTATCACATGAAAATCACACTTTTATTTCTAATTTTTAGCGTCCGAATCGCCTTTCTGGATTTACCTTCATCAGGGACGCTCATACACAAATATTTTGAAACCCATGGATGTATAAGACATAAAGACTTGAAGAGCTTTATGACCAAAAGGGACCTTAAATTATACCTAAATTAATTTTCTGAGGGAGTTAGAACCTTTGTTTCTTAAATATTTATTGATTTATTAACGTTTGAATATTATAGATAAAGTACTAACTAAATACCTAACTACAACTTGTTTAATCCACTTTTTTCTACATAAGGAATATGACAGTCGTTTTTTATACGTTTGATGTGTTTGAGCTTTTGAATTTGCCATTTGTTCAGGAACTTTTTCTTGGTATTTTTGTTATTTTACCTTTAACAATTTGTTCGGTTGGTTAATATAATCGAGCGTTTGTTTTTGTTAGGTTTAATGAACTTCCGCCCTTGATGAATTTACCTTATATATTTTTTCAAATACTCATATCTTCATGAACAAAATATTAAATAAAACCTCCAGCTTTAAAAACTGAATTTTGCCTGTGTGGTGAATATAAGCATATCTGATATAAGGAAATCGAGACAGTTTTGTAAACGAAACTTTGCTTGTTTTTGGATCCTAGATATATAATTTTTCTTACCTTTACTACCCCTGCAAAATACATTTTTTTTAAGAAAATCGTATAAACACTTACAAAAATGTGCAGTGTTTTCTTCCTGGCATCAAGCTGCGGCAATTTTTTTACATCTAATTTCTTCATCTCGTGAAGTCCCTTTACTCCGTGATTATGCATCTTACATTTTGTTATCAAGTCATTGGTATATATAAGTTTGTTTCAAACCACGTGGTCGCATTTACAATAATTTGGTAAGAGCAGTTGAATTTAGAAAGTCTCAGTAAAAGTTATTCAAATCACTAAAAAAATTCTACCCCGGACTTATTTTGTTTTTACGTGGAATTGTTACCCCATTGACCCAGTTTAGGGAGAGGGTTTGGCACCAGCAAACATGTTTAACCCCGCCACATTATATTTGTGTCTGTATCAAGTTAGGAGCCTGATATTCAGTGCACGTGGTTATCGTTTGTTGCTGTTTATCGTATTTTGTTTTCGTTTTTGATATGTTCATAAATCATGTAGTTAGTTTTCTTTTATAATTGATTTACATTTGTTCTTTTGGGACCTTTCATAGCTTACTATGTGGTATGAGCTTTGCTCATTATTGAAGGGATGACCGATAGTAGTTAACTTCTACGTTATTTTGTGTCTAGTGGAGACTGTTTGCTGTAAATTTACTGTTTATCAAATGTATTATTCAAAACACCAAATTATAAGCCTGATGAGTTTTATGAAGATAAAAGCAAAATATTTTTTTATAATTGTTGAATGTTTTTTTTTTTAATGACTGGGACAAATTATTACTCTTTTGAGTTACATCAACTTGCTATTCTAGGGATATTTCAGTGTACCTGTTCTTTACCAAAGAACATTTGTCAATACAGTAAAAATGTTATCTAGTTGTATATAACATAATACTTACAATACTAAACCATTGCCTAAAATTGTAGGAAAGACAATAGGCAATCATGGTTTGCTTGCATAAACTATTATTTAGAAATAAATAGGTGTGAAATACAAATACATTGTACATAATTTGAAACAAGCAAAACTTTGATCGTACATTAACAAATAGGAATAAAAACAATCACAAAGCATTTTGTAACGAAACGAATATTTTTATCTCAACCAATCTGAAAGTTATTTAGTCGTGTTCGATCCTCCAGAAAATTTATGGGGAATCCCATTATACTACTCAGATGTTTTCGTGCAGTCACTCAAGTATTATTTGGTCTATTTCCAGAGTGTTCATTGCTTTATTGTCACCTCTGAACACAATAACTTAACTATCGGATAAGACAAATCTATACTCTATAAGGAAAATATATGATAAAAGCGAAATAACTTAATGTGTCTAATGTGTAAAATACGGAACAGAATGCACCGTAAACATCTGTTAACCAAAAATGTAAACTAGTATAAAAAGTAGTAATTTTGTAAATAATCTCGACTTACTGAAAATGCCTAATTTTACTTTCAGTTGTTAACATTAATATTACCAGGCCTAAAGTACCACTTCCGGAAGAATATACGTGTAATGTTGCTTTTATCGACGAAGGATATATGCTGTCATCAAATGAGACAAGATCCGATAGAGTAAGTTCCATATGCGATCATCTTTCGGAATTAAAGTCGAGCTCCAAGGAAAAGCTGATAGCCATCGGAAAAAAGTAAATAAAACTAGTACTAAAAACGATGTACTAAGTTAAATTGATGTTGATGTTTACGTCATTCCTGGTATATGACCTTTGTCATTGATTTAACATTATTGGAGATTCATTTGAGAAATCGAACAAACTCCTGAAAGTAATTTGGGACGTTTAGTATTTGTACAGATTGAAAAAAAACGCAAAAAACCTATACAAAACTAAACAAAAAAAGAAGAGAGTAAACACACAAACACACACACAATAAAACCAAATTGATTGATTAAAAACACACACAATAAAACCAAATTGATTGATTAAAATGGCTATAAAATGAAATCTAAAACAAGAAGTCAAATACACAGACTATATTTTGTGCGTGTAATACTGCAACGGGAAGATAAAAAAAGTGCACAATCACTTTATTCGGGCTTCATTAGAGTAGGTCAACATGACTCAAAACTCTTGCAGCAGGATTATGAGGAAGAACGATTTAAATCGACAATTCACTAATTTGATGGTTATCATCAGGAATTGGTTGACCGATACAATGTGTCTCTGTCTCAACTTAAGAGAGAAACGTTTTTTTACCAGAATCTTCGTAAAATCATTAAATTTACTGAATGTGTTCTGTTCGCTATGATGACTTTTCAACTGAGTCTGGATTTGCATGGACATTAATACATGCTTACCATGTCGACGCACCCCGACTCGCGTGTTTGTAGTTCTTTCCTTCTTTTCTCTTTTTGGTTTGTGAATTTAGAATGGATTTATGTCATACATGTTTTGAACATCGTATCAGTACTATTACCTGTTATTTGTTGACAAATACAAGAGACAAACAGGCATAGTAAACATGCAATTGTACATAATTAAAATATAGGATGGCGTTTGAATACAGGATATATCGTTTTTATAGGTAATTTTAGAGTTACGTTGGCAGAAAGGTACAACGGCAGCTAACAATAAAAGCAAAATGATTCAGCTGCGAATAAATAGAAGTGCAAGTCAGCTTACTCAGGTACAATTCTTTAAGAATAACTTACTAGTATTATATCACTACAGCATTGTGCATGTTTGTGTTTACTTTCAGTAACAACAATATCTTCATTGGAAATTTGAACATTCCATTTTCAATTAACAATTTTAAATGCATGCTGTCTGTCAGATATATAAAAAGTTTTTGTCACCAAGACAATCCTGAAAGGGCATCAACATCAACATTAACATAAAAAAACAAAACTCATACCTTGTAACTTTTTGTTTAAATACGTGTTTTTTCATATTAAAAACACAAAAAGGAGATGCGGTATGATTGTCAATGAGACAACTACCAATCTAAGACCATCGGAATGAACGGAAAAGATGTAAAAAACTACAGGTCACCGTAGATTCCTTTGAACATTACCCATTTTATATCGCTTGAAAAGATCCGGTTTTTTCAAATCCTTTTTTCAAATAATTTGTCCTTTAAACAGGTTTTGTTATTTCTGTTATCCAGTATGTTGATCATTAGATATTAAACATTCGGAAATGTCAGGAAAGTTTATTTTACAATCTGAATTGTGAATTATATATAAATATTTCATCCTGTTAATTATTTTGATAAAAATGTAATTATTTAGATCAAGGTTAATGACCTCTTCTGTAGGCCTGTTTATTACGAAATATTCAAAGTGCTACAATATCAAAACAGTAAAAATATATAATAAAAGTGCACAATTAAATAATCCTGTATCTATTAAGCAACGAATTTTCGAATATATGAGTTCAATGGGAAAGGCTGACGATTTTTTTTTATAAAATTTCCATATGTTTAGCATTGAGACAGCAAAAGGGTACATTATCATTAAACATATTTTATTTTCTAAAAACAATGACAATAGGATCAGACACTAGGTTTGCAACTTAGAACGTCTTCTCTATTACATACACATAATAAATACCGGTAACTGAACAAAATAAAATACATATGAATAACAGTATATAAAATATTAATATGGAAACATGGAATGAACAAGAATTGAAACGAAATGGATCACTGGTGTTAAACTGATAATCGTAACTGGAATTACGACGATCCCAATATGGCGACGGCAGAAATAGGTAAGATCTTTTCAGTCATTTTTCTCAAATGTAGCCCGTTGTTGTCAAGAGTTACTCAGCTGCAAGGTTTTTCTATACCATTACATCATATTTGAATCGTAACGGTGCACTATAATTGTCTAAGCGCTTAGAAAATTGCCGTCGAAAAATTCGGGATGATAATCGTAACTCGCAAAAATGATAATCGTAATTTCAGTATTCATAAATAAGAAGATAATCGTAACTGGATAGTGTTTGATTGGTATTGACACGAAAAACGTCTATCTAATAGCATAAGATGAAAATATGGTGATGAATTAATCACGAAAACGTTCCCACATCTTATGACATTTCTTTTTGTGCATATATGATTAACAGTTCTAATGTAAACAGCTACATACTAGTATATATCATAAAATTGGAAGGGGGACCAGCTTCAATAAATTTGTAAATGGGGAAACACGAACTATGTTAGAATACTGAAAACTCCAGGAACTAGGACCGTCACAAAATATGGGAGAAAATTTTAAAAAATGTCATCATGATCTCTTCATGTTTAGAGTTAAAAAGAAATATTGTTTGGTATTCTATTTAAATACGGACTTGAAAACAAATGTCACACCTTTTTGAATGTGTAAAAAGTTGTATAGCCCATAAATACTATAAAAATGCTTAGCTACTTCATGACCGTCACTGACATTTCGATATCTCAGAAAATAACTATAAATTTTAACAACACAAATTTAGTTTGGCATTCTAATAATATGACATCCTTAAAACGTTTAATGATAATATAAGAGTAGAGAAAAGTTGGAATGCTTTGTGTGTTATGGACATGGTGACGTGGAGTTCATTGCAAAAACATGGATTTGTGTTCTTTAATAGTTTGGCCAAAAGCCCAAAGATCAAGAAATCAAATTGATGTGGCCTTAAATTACCTTACAAGCTATATTTATTCAAAGAATGACTGCAACTTTAAGAAATCATAGCGCATATTCCGCCATATCAGAAACAAACTGATTCAAGAAATCATAAATACTTGGTATATGAAAAATATGCTGCATACATATGCATGGAAGTTATTGTAGAGAAAAAAATATTGAAGGTAACAAAGAACATTTTTGTACTTGCATAACTACCATAAAATTATACTTAGTACTTTTCTATCAAATGAAAACAAAAATTAGCCTTTCATAATTGTCATGCATTTTTTTGAAGCATAAAATATTTGTTTGATTATCTATTAAAGTCTTTGAAATTTAACCAGTTTCGACCGTGATGATCTACATATTATGCCTTCTGAGGACCAATACACATATCTATATAATATATATTTGTGGTTTTTTTTTCAGTCCTTCAAATGCTTTGCAAGACTATACGCGCCATTTAGGCTAATAAAAACAATAAACACAAGAAACAATAAACACAAGTAACAATAAACACAAGGAACAATACACACATGGAACAATAAACACAAGGAACAATAAACACAAGTAACAATAAACAATAGTAACAATGAATACAAGGAACAATAAACACAAGGAACAATAAACACAAGTAACAATAAACAATAGTAAAACTATAAACACAAGTAACAATAAACAATGGTAACAATAAACACAAGGAACAATAAACACAAGCAACAATAAACACAAGTAACAATAAACAATAGTAACAATAAACACAAGTAACAAAAAACAATAGTAAGAATAAACTGGTAACTATTCTAGATCCTTTACCATCCACCCTGTTTAAAGAAACGTCCTAAAATACATGAGTATTTAATCAAAATATTTGAATTTAATTTTAAAATCATATAAATATCAGTGTAAAACAGAACAAAAGTGAATTCACTTGAAAAATACGAACGGCTATTTTAACCGGGATACATTTCACTCCAAAATTAAACTATATGTATTTCTATTGAAATATAAGGAAAAGGGCAAAAGTATCAACTGTTAAATCCAATAATGCAGTTAAGTAACTGATGGAAAATTTTGTTCATTTCTCGCAGAAATTTAGTATACACGTTCAGTTTATAGCACCCCCCCCCCCCATTTCCCTTTTACATAAATTGTGGACCCATCCCCGAATATAAACAACAGGGAACTCAAAACTGACAGCGATCTTATGATAAATAAGGTCTGTATAAGGCACAGGGGAAGGGGTGGTGTCACTTCTGGCGTGCAGCTGAAATTTAAAAAAATATATCCCCTTTCATATATTGCCGAAGACCAAAAATCTGATCCATGTTATATCTTATATATTTATATAGGAGGTAACCCACAGCCACCCCCGTGGTATAGGGAATATTGAGATAGGGGAGGGTAACTTGCCCTTTTTATTGATTTAAAAGTCGATTGGATATATGCAATATTTGAAGCAAAACATATGGCATATTGAAATGTGGTATACGGGACTTTCATTTGAAAGGATTTAACTTTTGGGATATGGGATAATGCTAATACCTCCCCCCCCCCCCCCCCCCCCCCCCCCCTTTCCCCACTTCCACAAAAAACCCTAAAAGCGAAAACAACATTGAAACTTTGAAAGAATTTAAATTATCTATTTACCACAATAACTGACTCGACAGCTGCTTCATTTTCCATATCTTTAACAGGTACATGTATATATAAAAAGGTTATGCATATTGTCGTCAGTTATAAATCGAGATATATATACATGTAAGTAAATTTGTCCTAAATAATAACCTGTAAGTTGCTTCATTATTTTTTATTTTGCGCGTTAATGTCATCGTTTAACTGGACATTGCCGTTTTTACACACAAAATTCCATTGACAAGCTGGAAGACACATTTATTATTTTTCAGTTACTATTATCCCATGAAGAAATTACTATTATCCAACAAGAAAAATCCCATCGAATTACCATCCCGAATTTTTCGACGGCAATTTTCTAAGCGCTTAGACAATTATAGTGCACCGTTACGATTCAAATATGATCTAATGGTATAGAAAAACCTTGCAGCTGAGTAACTCTTGACAACAACGGGCTACATTTGAGAAAAATGTCTGAAAAGATTTTACCTATTTCTGCCGTCGCCATATTGGGATCGTCGTAATTCCAGTTACGATTATCAGTTTAACACCAGTGCAGTGGATCATCGATTTCATAAAGTCAAGTTGACCGTAAATTTATTTATCAAAACCAAGTAGGATGTTTTCATCTGGGAATAAACATTCACTCTTAAGGTAAGTTTTTATTTATAATTTGCAATTCATTAAACATATTTTGTTTTAAAAGGGAGTTTTGTAAACATATTTTAATTGCAGGTATACAAGTTTCCTGAACACATCAACAAAACTGTCTTTGTGATGAATCCACCAAAGCATGCCTTTGATATAACAAGTGGTATAATTTACGTTGCTAATGCTGAAACGTTACGACAAAGCGATATTGGTGTTAAAATAACAGTTATCTCACACCCGGATAATTTCCAAACAGATTTGTTTATCTCTGTCATAGGACAGTATCATGTCTTGAAGACTGACAAGCCATGTAGTAAGTCTGTAATTCAGTGGTTGTCGTTTGTTTATGTGTTACATATTTGTTTTTCGTTCATTTTTTGTACATAAATTAGGCCGTTAGTTTTCTCGTTTGAATTGTTTTACATTGTCATTTCGGGGCCTTTTATAGCTGACTGTGCGGTATGGGCTTTGCTCATTGTTGAAGGCCGTACGGTGACCTATAGTTGTTAATTTCTGTGTCATTTGGTCTCTTGTGGAGAGTTGTCTCACTGGCAATCATACCACATCTTCTTTTTTATATTTATACTAGCTCTATCTAAACTATATGTTTATGTCGTGAAGATACATGAATGTGATCATTTATTTGGCAAATTGTCTTTAATATTATATCAAAATATATTAAAAGAAAAACACTCAATTAAAACAAAACAAAACAAACTAACAAACAAACAAAAGACACAAAGTTATTTGTAAAATAAGGCATATGATATCTAAAGTTGACGAAACTTTTAACGTTTATACCATGAAATTGAGTGTTATATCAAACATTGTGGCTAATTGCAAATGTGAAATTACAAACAATATGCCACAAAACGTTTCACAAAAAAAAGAACAATTAAAAAGAAATAGAAAATAACGCTTAATGAAGTTTATTCGTCCGAACCGCTTTTCTGGGTTAATCTTCATCAGGAGAGATTTGAAAGTCAAGGATGCATACGACTCAAAAGGGACATAACAATTATAGCATCTAAGGTCAACTTTGCCTGAGGAATTTGGAACCTAAGTTCCCAATAATGATTGAAGAATTAACCATGGAAATCTACACATGGAACATGTAGTTGTTTTTGAATTCAAGTTAAAGCCACAGCTGTAGGCCAAAATAAAGCAATCGTGTGTAATTTATTAAAAGAGCTTGTTAAATGGTCAGACAACGTTAAACATAGGTATAATCTTTTCATATATAATTATATACATATATATTTATATTTATAGATGAGTCTTGTTCTCGCTTTATGTATAAGCAATATTGTGAAACTGGTTGTGGCCTTGGTGCACCAAATGGGAAATGTGTCTGGCGTCAGGGAAATGATGGAGGTGGTCTTGAAACTAAATATTCAACATGTTCTCCAACTTTACATACGTGTCCAGATCAAGTCTGTGACCCCTTAGAAAAGGCATTTCATTTATTATGTCCACAAGATTGTACAAGTAAGACAACTATATGTTATTATGTAGTTTCGTAATTTATAGATTACAAACGGTACCAACCAGAATCAGAAAAGTACTATGAAGTATATATGCTTCTTTTCGACCTATATATTCCCAAACAACCCTACAACAGTTTCCTCTACTTATCCTGAAACGTGTGATTTATGTACAACCAATTATCTGACTTTAAGTACTAGTAATATAAAAATAAGGAGATTATGTTTGTTCCAACTCCTGACAAGTATAATCGCAAACATTTAGACGATCTACATTTAAATGGAACCAAACCACAATAGTGCGAATGTTTGTGACTTCACTTAAAGTTTGCAATGTATTCAATTTATTTGATTTCAGATATAGTTTTATTTTCAGCTGAATCTGCTGGGATAGTGAAGAAGGATCCTCTGACAGGTAGAGGTATTCTACAAGCTACTGGACCTTGTTGGTGTGATTATAATGGGAAATGTTCTTGCTTTGAACCTCCCCCTTTTAAGTCAACTACACCAAGTACGGTGATTTACAAACCTGGCATACATAATAGTAGTACAAAAGATAGGAACCAAACCATAGATAATGTTAGAGTTGATCCAGTATTGGATGGTACGTATTTTTAGGTTGCTTCGACAGTCTGATGTATTGTTTTTAATCCAGTTTGCTGTACTTGACATAAGTTTTTTATTCCATATGAAAAAAATTTACATTTTGAAATTATTTTTTGATTAGTTTAAAGTTTGAAAATTAGAAAATTGAAACATACAGGAACGGATGATAGCTCAGGAATAGATGATTGTTTGTGTTGAATTTAATTCAAGTACATGAATACATCAATTAGTTAAACGTCATTAAAATATTTGTTACTTCCACGAAATTTAAAAAAAAATTGTTAATCCAACGGAATTTAAAAAAAAATTGAAACTTCATATATTTATGAATTAAATCATTAGAAATTTCAAATTCTTTCTTTAGGGAATGAAGAAAGGAGTCGACTTTATCTGCATTTCATTTACCATTTTTTGTTAAAACTGATTTTAGATTTTCTAAATTTATTGTCGTAACATTTATATAATGTCACAACGCTTGTTTATATTTTGCAGACAAACTTAATAACAGTGATCATACTATCTGTGATATAGATTGTAAAATTACCATAGCAACGATATGCGGATGCATCAGCGCGCTTGCATGTTTGTTTGTTCTTGTATGGAAAACAAGAAGATTTAAGTGTCAGAGGAATAAAACACTAAAACATGTCGGAAGTGTCGCATCAATGTCTGTTATACCTTCGGATTATTTTGACGATAGGGATTACAGGACGACACACTCTTCACCACAGTATGGCCCATATTACAAAGAATCGTACAATAGCAGCGTGGTAATATTTTTATATATTAAAATATTTGATTCGAGAGCTATATGCAAAGAGTTATTTCATAATAATTTTACTTTTTTATTGTGTGTACTGTACGAAGTCAGTAATATCCTCTCGACATTCATAATAAAATGTCCACGAAAAGAATAAAATTTCCGCGACGAATACGTAAATGGTACATTGATATGTTTAGACTTTCAATGAATTATTATAGCTAATCACGTATACTAACATATTTTAAAGTTTATTTTTGAATTGTTCTTTTGTTTATATTTTTGAGTAACTACACTGTATGCTTCACCTTGTATGGAATATAAAAAATTGAAAACAACACGTTTAATAATTTCATGCGTCCGAAGCGCTTTTCTGGATTTACCTTCATCAGGAAAGCTCAAAGCCAAAAATATGAAATCCGAGGATGTATAAGTACCGAAACATTGAAGAGCTATATGACAAAAATACCTAAAAAAATAGCCAAATTCATCTAAGGCCAACTTTGCCTGAGGGAGTTGAAACCTTAGTTTCTTTATAATTTCAAAATTTATCAATTTATAAGTGTGTCTTTTAATTTTCGTTTACTCTGTATATTATACCGGTTTTATATCAAAGGCATGTTTTAGAGGATTCATACCATTTTGTTTCCTATTTTGTGAGCCACAAAAAAACGTGCATGCATGAATATTCATTTCACTCTTCTGCAGAATTTGATATAGAATAACATTTTCAAATTACACGTATGAACGTGGATTCAATTCCAATATCATACATCCAAGGGGCCTTGGTGGCCGAGTGGTCTAAGTAGTCGAAATACTATATCACTAGTCTCTCAACACTGAGGTTGTGAGTTCGAATCCCGCACGTGGCAGGTGCTCTCGATTCCAAACTAAATTGACTAGGATTGTCAGTTATCCTACCGAGGGTCGGTGGTTTTCTCCGGGCACTCCGGCTTCCTCTACCAAAAAAAAACAAAAAAACTGACCTCCACGAAATGGCACATTAGTGCTGAAAATGGCGCTAAACACAAATAAATAAATCAATCATAAATCGAATTCTACATTTAAGTTTCATATAATCCGATTTGAATCTAGCATGCGTGTGAACAGGATAATAATGTAGGTATTCATATGAACCAATAATACGAACTCACTGTGAAGAATTTTATATAAATAATAGGAATTTATATGGTAAAAATATTAAGGAGTTTTTGTTGTTTTTTTTTTATCTTTATTGATATTTTGAAAGGAGACAAATTGTAAGATCTGGAACTCTTTGTAAATTGTTTTTCCAATATTATTTAAGTTGGTTATGGAAATAAAAATAAAAAAGTGCATGTACAATGTGTTGAAAATACATTTCCCAATTGAAATCTCCTGTTACATTCTTAAATATTTTCTTCAACGTTTAAATTTTCTTTTTTTCTATTGCAGTCCCCCGAAGATGCAAAATGGGAATTTGAAAGGGAAAATTTACAATTAGACACAACTCTTGGTGAAGGAGAATTTGGGAAAGTTGTCAAAGCTAAAGCATTCAACTTAGACGGAAAACAAAATTATACTGAAGTAGCAGTAAAAATGCTCAAAAGTAAATATTAATTTATATGTACAAATTTAATTTTATACTGAAAAAAGATTTAAGGATTAACTAAATAAATCCTCATTTATTGTCTTTTTCATATTTTAATTCATTTTTCTTTTCCTTCATTCGAAATTTAAACTTTAACAATATTTGATCATTTCTTTAATATATTCTTAACAATTCAACACTTTATTTAACAGTTGCATTAATTGGATTCTAACATTCTACATGATAATTAATAGTTCCTCTTTATCTTATTCTCCCTTATATGTGAAAAAAAATATTCATTACAATTATGTCATATAATTGGGAGGATTTGCTAGCTATAAAAACATGGTTTAACCCACCATTTTCTTCGGAAAAAGCCTGCACCAAGTCTGGATTATAGCAGTTGTTTTTTTAACATGTTCCGTTGAGTGATAATGTTTGATTTTGTCAGTTGTATGGACTTCCCCTTTTTTGAATTAGATTTGGAGTTTGCTATTTTTGTACTCAAATGATTTTAATTGAGCTTATATATATACGTTTTTAAATGTTATAGATTGTGCCTCTGGAGTTGAACAACAAGCATTATGGTCGGAGTTCAATTTACTGAAAGATGTTCAACATCCTAATGTTATACGATTACTGGGCGCATGCACTCAAAATGGTGAGTAATTCACTAATGACAGGAAACTAACATAGCATATCGGAAGCATGATGACATAACAAAGTTACACCATCAATATGAAAATAACAGTTGTACGACAATAATCAGGATTTGGAAAATGTAAACATTCTTGATGTGGGTTTTTTTCAGACACAGTAGATTTCCATACAAATTACAAGATCGAATTTCGTCTTTAAATAAAAATGGATTTTGTGCAAACTTTAGAACTCTTATTGAACAAAGCGCTCATTCTAATAATTATTGTTTTCTTTAAACAGGTCCAACATATCTTATAGTGGAGTATTGTGAACATGGATCTTTGCTTAGTTACTTACGAAATTCTAGACTTGAAGAGAATGGTTATGTTAATCAGCGGTATAAACCGTCAAAACATATATCAAACCCAAAAGAACCGCCCGAACTTCTAACAATACGGGACTTGCTATCCTTTGGTTGGCAGATTGCAAAGGGGATGAAATATCTGAGCGAAATCAAAGTAAGTCAGTTATAGAGTGCAGATATATTTTGATCGCTTTACAATTGATCTGTTTGTTTTGAGCAATTACTCTACATGTTTTGTTGTTGTTGCTTCTCATCTGTTTTTTCGATCCTTTTTTAGAAATTGCTCATTAACATTAAAAACTTATTTCGATATTCATTGATTTACGAAGGCTTTATATTAGTATCGTATCGGTGGTGTTTATAATAAAAAAAAATGCATCATTTTGTTTATTAATAAAGTGAAAATTTTGTATTAAGTATGGATTTATTAATTTAGTAGGATGTAGGTATGTTACTTGTTTTAGTTTAGTTGACATTACATATATATTCTTATATTGAAGCTTGTACACAGAGATTTAGCAGCTAGAAATGTACTTGTTGGTTCAGGCAAAGTGTTAAAGATATCAGACTTTGGTTTAACTAGAGATGTATATGAAGCTGACACATATCTTAAACAAAGCAAGGTACACATTTCCCGTTTACAATTTTATTTGTGAGACATAATTCACTTTTTACAGTTTAACTAGAGTATACCTGACTGTATATTTGTTATAAGTAGTCTTTACTTATGAGAACAATTTTTAAACTGATCGATCCAGATCCAGAATTAATTCTACTGCATATAACATTTTCATATTCATTTCACACGTTCAAAAGTTCTGCACACTAAAGTGACAATTTTGCATACATTTTTAAAGCAAAAATTATACAAAACATCTAAATATAAAAAGAAGATGTGGTATGATTGCCAATGAGACAACTCTCCACAATAGACCAAATGACACAGAAATTAACAACTAAACGCTGCTTTATGATCCTTAATAGTGAAAGTATGCATTCACATGTTACATTTTAAATAAAATGAGATGATAATTATTTTATCCCTTTTAGGGAAGAATTCCAGTAAAATGGTTAGCACCCGAGTCACTGTATGCACAAATATATACCACACAAAGTGACGTGTAAGTATGTACCCATAAATAGCAAAATTTTCTTTATTTTGGAGAACATTTAAGTTGAAGAATCAAATTTTATTCACAAACCGTAAATCAAAAAGGAGAACGGACAAGATTATTAAAGAGAAAGAAAATGGCAAAATCTGAAACGATAGGCAATAAAATTTACAAAAGAAAGAAACAATAGTCATGTTCATTGATGAAAATGAGGTTGTTCCGTACAGAATGGCAACATCTAAAATGAAAGGCAATAAAATTTATAAAAGAGAGAAACAAGAGTCAGGTTCATGGATGAAAATGAGGTTGTTCTGTACAGGATGGTTAACATCTGATATGAAAGGCAATAAAATTTACAAAAGAGAGAAACAACAGTCATGTTTATAGATGAAAATGAGGTTGTTCTGTACAGGATGGTTAACATCTGAAGTGAAAGGCAATAAAATTTACAAAAGAGAGAAACAACAGTCAGGTTGATGGATGAAACTTAGGTTGTTCCGCCCAAGATGATGGGTGATAAAATCAAATAAAACAGGAAACAACATCCTTCAAATGACCAATACTGAATGTTATAATTGATATGTCTTTCAACATTTATTAAAAATGATCGTCATATAATCGTGTTTATTTTTTAGATGGTCCTTTGGTATTGTTTTATGGGAAATTGTTACTCTCGGTAAGTATATACCTCAGGCAAGGTATGAAGACATCGATGATAATAGTAATAAAAATCAGAATAGGTTTTTTCCATGGTAGTTAAGATACTTTCAAATGAACTTGAATAGGCTTCAAAGTAAAATATATTTCTTGATATACATGATATATTAAACAAGAAACTAAACCAGTTTGAATTCATATATGCATCCAGTAAAGTTAATGCTCAACTACAAATAATTATGTTCTGCTATCTAGCTCTCTGACAATACAATCTGTATCATAATACACCTATGGTTTTATATATCTTTGGTTGTATCTTTGGCGTTTTTGACAATGTTAAATCTAGAAAGGCTAATCAAAATCAGTACAGTTGGTACGTGTTATTTTCACATCACTTTTCGATTAAAGTTGATGAGATTTTAAGGTTTAAAAATACTGCATCTACTGTGAATTATTTTATTTGGTAGAAAGAAATTTTATTTTTGCAATTTTGATATCAATGGATAAGTTTCATACATTTTTCTTATTTTGCACAGTTAAAACTATCATTCATATACTTTAACATCTTTTTTTTTTAATTTTATACCAGGAGCGCCTCCATATCCGGGTGTACCACCAGAACGTCTTTATAACCTATTATTGGCGGGCTATCGCATGGACAGACCTGAAAATTGTTCTGATGAGCTGTAAGTTTAATAAGACAACATTCGTCTACCGTTGTTCAAATCTCATAAATCGATAGAGAAGACAAAAATCGAGGTAACAAACAGAAACTTGAGAATCGCATGAGCTCCAAAAGGTGCGAGATCGATTACGTCGACAGTGTAAGTGTCTTCTGAAAAACATTCACGGATGGATACCCCATATCCTTTGTTTTTCTATTATACATCAAAAATTGTAATTAAAGTCATAATTGTATAAAGATTTCATTTAAAATTCAGGATGTGTAGGCTTATCAAGTTGAAATATTAATCCTTGTTCGTGGAATAAAAAAAACCCAAAAGAAACTGGTTTTCTAGCTGTATTTTCTGATACAGGAGATTAGTTTTACATGATTCATTGGGTTATTTTAAAAAGGATGTTACATATACACGCAGTTATCACAAATTAATAATCGAACCTAAAATAAATATTAAACTATGGACGACCTGAATATGTGACAAAGATAAGTAACGAAATAGTTTCTACAAACATAGGCAAGTTAGCATTATGAGAACTCGGAAGATTCCAGTGATAGTTTAATTTTCAAATATTAAATCATTAGAATTTTGAATATCAAGCGAATGTTAATTTAAATGATTTCTTTTTATTTTGATGTAATTCTAAAAAAAAAAACCAAAATATGTAATTGCATTGAAAAGAAAACCAATCCTATTATTTTATTTGTGTGACAAGAGATTGTATTTTAGTATTCTTATTACTTTGTAATCAGCAGACACGTTTTTGTCGTCTAAAATATGAACTTCTTCATGAAAAGACCCATTTTAAGATAATGTAATGTGTTTTAAATAACTACCAGAAATAAACTAGAAACAATCCTATATAAAATCGCTAATTTTTCAATTTAATTGCACCATCAATTCAATTCTGGCAAAAAAAATGTCTCATTAGATTTGTTTAGTTTGCTGATTTGTATTCTAAAATGACAATTGTCAATCTATAAAGCTACAAATATGTCAAAACAAAATGTTTTGCGCCAGAATATCTATTCTGTGTTTCGAAACTTAATACTAGATGAATTGTCACTACGGTAATTTGACTATTTTAAATCAGAACAAACGAATCTAAATTGTACCTCTATTTGTATGAATATGAGTGTTATAGTATGAGATAATGGTAGTTTGTCCGGGTTTGGCATTACTTTTGGTCGGCGGGTTACGTTTGCGACATTTGTCCTACGTTTGCGCGAAATAATGTTTACGTTTGCACGACAAAACCCATTGCATTTGCACGAAATTTATTTGTTCAAAAGTAACTACGTTTGCACAGATTAATTAAATTTTCTATCAATGAAGTAATAAAAACATTGTAGAATTTTCAATAATATTTATAAAATAATGATTTCTGAAATAAAGCGACACAGATAAAAAGAAACATAATAATAATAATAATAAAGTGAAATGACAAGGTGAAAATGGACGTTCAAGATGGAGACAAACAAAGGGAAAAATCCTTGATATTTGATGGATTTCCGCGTACATATCTGATTAAAGATGGAAACATTTTCTGGAGATAAAAATATGCAAATATCGGATAAGAACTTATTGAGAATGTAAAGTTTTTCTTACGGCAAAACAATGAGCACACTCGTTAAAGTAATGAACGTAAATGAGAAAGACAACAATTCATCCTGCTGATCATACGGCAAATTCAGGCTACTACGTATACCAAAATACACGTTAGCGATAACCTATCTTGTGAAACGTACAGACAATGACAATTATCAACTAACGAATCTTGACTTTGTATTTATCAGGTTTAAAACACTAGTAAAAACTCAGGTAAATTAGTACAAACGTAAAACCATTTGTTCGAGCAAACATAAAACCATTTGTTTGTGCAAACGTTATAACTGTCAAAATTCAAATTCGCCCAAATGTAAGTCTCCCCTTTTAGTCCATATAGGTTGTGTCAGCTCTTCAACGTTTTTTACATTCTTATAAAAATATATTTATATATTGACATCGAGAATCATTGAAGAGACATTAACTGTTCAAATGTGCATCTTAAGCAGAACAAATGGTACTGTTAATGTTATTAAAAGTACAAAAGTTGTTTGTTAATAGTCATTAAACGCTGATCTAATTTATTCATCGACTTCGTACTTTATTTGCTTTTAACTTTTTGATTCAAGCGTCACTGCTGGGTCTTTTTTTTTTAGACAGACGAAACTAGTATCTTTCAATGTATTTAAACGGATTGTTTTTTTTAAGATTTACTTACTTGTTTTCATTTTCTGGATGTAAATATGAATGAGTTGATCAAATATAATAACATGTCTAGTTCACGTTTCGATATATGGCCGATGCCGAATAATTCAAAGTGTGGTGTCTTAGTTGACTGCATCTATCTCAATGCATGCCGCAGATGAAGTTAAGCCTGATTTATATATTATTATATATCTAGAAATTGACAATGAGGATGGGCTTACAACTAGTTTTTACTTCTAAAGATTAAAATTTTTCAATTTTGAACTTTTCATTTTTGTGTAGTAACATTACAGCAGTGCATGAAAATGGAGTATATATCGCCCAGCTGATACGATAGTACATGACATGCTTTTCCTATCCATGAATTTCTTGATACATTATAACTGCCTACAAGAAACCAATTGCACCTACGATTCCGAGGGCTAAAGTTGAATTATCTCTTCGATCTTTTCACAGACGCCATCATGATTTAGTTTACTGTTATGGAACATGTGGAATATCTGTGTCACATATGACCATTGATATATTACACTTGGTAGTACCCGTAATCCCGTCCTTTTATCTCCATATTGTGACATAATGTAATTCGATTTATCATTGTAATTTTACTTGCAATGAGTACATGACGGATGGCATTATTTGAGCTGGTATATATTTCAAACTTTCACATTCAATCAAATCTAAGGGTGAGATAATTTACTTGCATGTTCCGATTTCTTTTGCATTTGATGATGTCTTAGATTCAGATAAAAGATTTATCAGTCCGCTTTTCACTAGATATGAATCATCAATATATAATACAAGAGTGTTACTAGTGGAGCAAATATTGCCGTCCCTTTTTGGAGGGATTAGTGTTCCTCAATCTTTAGTTTTCTGTGCAGCGTTTTTGTTATTGTTGTTTGTCTTGCAGTCTTCTTTTTTATTTGCTGTGGTTGGTTTTTACTACTTCCATATTATCTATTATCTCTTTTTCAAGTTTTTCAAGTCCTACACTTAGATATAACAAAACCCTTTAACTTTTTGCAAAATCGTATTATTTATGTATGTCAAATTATGTAGTCCAAGAATATAGATGTAATAGATAATAAATGTATTGATTGTAGATATGCTGTGATGCAAAAATGCTGGAAAACAGACCCACAGGATAGACCAACATTTTCAAAACTTGCAGATATATTTGATAGAATGTTGCAGCAAAGAACGGTATGATTTAATAGATATATAAAGTATTTCCCATATGTGAACCTACATGTAGATATAGCAAGCAGACATATTTCAGTTGAACTTTAGCGGAATGATTTAATTTCATGATGAACTCCTATATTATTTGATACTTTTGCAAAGTATAAATCGGCTAGAACTGTTGATAATGGTTATGGTGGAGATTAAAAATTATTTTTCTAAGTCAGGCGCAACATGATCTGTGCAACAATTGGCGGATCACTTGATGTCACCCCTGGTTTTTGTTTGGATTCATGCTGCTGCATTTCTTAGTTCATAGATGCATAGACTTTATAAACTATCACTTGTCCTTTTGTCTTTTTTTTACACGGATGTCTCTCTTTCGTCGACTTTTATTGCTTTCTTTTTAAAAAAACAATTTCCAATTCTCCCGTTCTCTTCAAAGATAGCACATACATTTTCTTTTCAACTTGTAAGTATTGTACAAAGCAAGTATCGTATTTACGGCACACCAACAAGTTAGTTAAAATGTATTGTATACTGCTTAATGTTCCACAATCACCTATCATCTGTTTTCCTCAGTCGTTTCTGTTGGCGTTATATGTTATCTAAACTCGTTTTCGAAATCTAAAATGGTCGCAGATCACTTGGCACCAGTCGCAAAGAGAACAGTACAGTATAGACATTTTTAGATATATCATATATAATTATATAAAACCATTTGAATACTTCTACTGGCTTGGCCACAGTTCGATACGCCTTAAACATTCAAGTCATCCTAAGAGTTTCCCCTAGATAAATATTAGACTTATAGAATTAAGTGTATAAACCGTAAATACTCATATGATAAAACGTTAAAAAACTTTCATTACAGGAGTATCTAGAACTTACGGGTGGTTTTGAGGATGACACATCAGACCTTTTTGGTAGTCGATATGCTCCCTCAGTATCGGGTGAGTAAATTGTTTAATTGTGATATTTTACATTTCTTTGAACGTGAATATGCTTGATATCTCTTGGCAAACACATATCATTCATAACGTATGTGGTTGATACACCACTGAAAACGTTTTATGGTTGTCAGTAAGAGTTGGTTGACACTGTTTTTGAGATGACTGGTGACTTATTTATATATTCTATATTATTTCTTTAATTCTTCTGAATTGGAACATTTGTCATATATATACATGGGTGTTCCCGCCTGTCTAAAAATTAAAGGACGGCCCACCCCTGGTGCCCTTACTCACGCCCTTCTGCCCATCAAAGCAAAGTGATATTTAAAGATTATCGATGGTTTTTCAAACGAGAGGGTGCTTCTCAGCTACGATCTCATCGACGAGTGAGAAACATCCTCGAGATTTAAAGACCATGGATAATCTGATTATCGCTATTTTTCCTATGACGTCGTTGGTGTTTACATTAACTTCACGTGCGCCCTCAGTTTCTGTCGATAATTTTCCATCTCAAGCGAGTTGCATTAAGTTGCTGTGAGCAACTCGATATACACCATATACACTTATCTGACTTATATAAATATGAATACAGGACTCCATCTGAAATAGAAATATACGTGCAGGTTAAACGGTACTAACACAACGCTTTATAATTGAAAAATTAACCATACTGGTTCTATAAGAATTCGAAATATAGAAAAATAAAAAAGGGAAAAATCAAATATAACGGAACAGAAATAAATGTATACCTGATATAAATCATAGCCGGATTTACAAATCATTTTTTAAATTATGTTACTTGGCATTTGCAATTGCTAAAATATTATTTTTAAAACCAACTTTAGGCCACGCTTGAAAGGCAGCAAATAAGCTTTAAATTTACCAACTGTGACCTATTCCTGACGGTCAAGGGCTCGTTATGCCAAAGTCGTTCCGTCTTAAGTTTTACGAACGCCACCATGATTTGGTTGGACGTTATGGAATATCGATATCACAAATGACCACGGATATGTTCTATTTGTCTAAGCTATAATCCCGGCCTCTTTTGCTCGATTGAAACATCGAATTTGTACTTGCAATGCGCATCACGATGAGTGCCACGAGTGGAGCAATATCTTATAACCCTTCAGAAGAAGCTGAGATCTTTGGTGGGGTTCATATTGCCCAGTTTTTAATATAAATAAGATGTAGTATGAGTGCCAATGAGACAACTCTCCATCTAAGTCACAATGTATAAAAAGTTTACAATTATAGGTCAATGTACGGCTTTCAACACGGAGCCTTGGCTCACACCGAACAGCAAGCTATAAAGGGCCCCAAAATGACTAGTGCAAAACAATTAAAACCGGAAAACCAACGGTCTAATACATATAAAAAGCGAGAAACGAGATACAAACCAAACAAACGACAACCACTGAACAACAGGCTCCTGATTTAGGACAGGTGCACTTTATAGTGTTTTGTAGATTTTTTATCTTTTCTTTTTGTTTTTTATAGTTATGTTATTATGACCAATATGTTTTTTTTTTTATTTTTAGGAATTTCTATTCTTGGCAGTCGACCTTTACCTGTACATTCCGAACACACACCTGTCGACTCCAGGAACAGTGGAAGTTCATATCTTACGCCAGCATTAACAAACCCAATTGATACAAACACGAGTTTTTCAGACTCTACGTTGTCAAAACGTGAACAAAGCGAAACTTCAGAAATGGCGTCTTTACTGATTGATAATAGAAGTAAAAACCCTTTTATTAATGAAGGTCTAGTCAGTCCCAAAGCAGAACAAACGGTTGTGTAAACAAATATATATTGTGATGTGTACATAATGAAATTGTGTAAGTGATCTAGTCTTGCTTTTCTGTGATGGAGTTCATATATACATCATAACATATATATATAATTATGCAATTAACTTCAAAAAAATTAATTGGTCAATGTAGATATTGTAATATACAGTCTTAACATTTCATTTGAGTTTATTGTGAGAGACCGTAGAAATGTTATATAGTATAAAACGTGCTTATACTCCTCGTGATGTGTATCAGTTATGACTTACGTTAGGTTATATGACTATATGTACCTGATTTTTTTATTGAAACTCAAGAAACAAAAGAACATGAATGCATGTTCATGTTTTTAATAACTGCACTTACATATTCTGGTGCAAACTGTATTTGTTCCGTGCAAGGTCGATCGAATATTACTTATACAAGTACTGCATGTTAAATTTGAAAGATAGATGATTTAATCGTGCAGCGAAAGCTAAAACTTGCAAATTCTTAATTTTAAATGGTTACCTTACTTTACTAGCGAATTTCCTCTCGGTAGGATCTTATCCTTGGCCAGTACTGAAACGTATATCAAAATATGTTTAATTGATATAAAGCCTTAAATTGTACGTTGTGTGTGCAATAACTGTACATTGTAAGTGCAAATTGAAATCAATCATTGGAAGTTCAAAGAGCGTCTGACCGATTGACCTTTGTAATTAATTATGGCTTTATACCGTCAAATTTTCGTTCATGTGACACAATGCCAAACAGTGTATAAAATATGTTTTCAATTTAGACTTGTTAAAATATAACTTGTATATATATTTGAAAAATGATTTGTAATGTACATAGATTTATTTATCCTTTGGGACTAATTTCATAACATTTCTTACGATAAAAAATACTCGTAAGTCATGAACATTTCAGCATAACTTACGATCAATTTTAGTCGTAAGATTTTTGTGTGAAACGAGCTACTGGTCTTATCAGTAAGACACAAGATGATATTAATTAACTTGATGAATACTTCTTGGATGGTGTAGCTGCTATATAAATTACAATTTTCAGAATCAAATGCATGTCAAGTTTGAACAGGAGCAAATGAAAACAAGAGTGCCATTATCTATCAAATAAGCGTTAATCATTTTCAAAATAAGGTCAGCAAATCGAGCATAGAAAGTACAGACAGTATATTATGCATACATGTAACCATATTTATTACTGTCAAAACATTTTGTAATATAACTGATGCCTGATAAAATATTGTGATATTAGTTTCATGAATAGTGTGACTTACTAGAAACGGGTATGTAGATGGTTAGTTCTCAAACTCATGTGATTTACGAGGTTTAGTTCATTTTCTGATAGTGAAAATATAATGGATATCATTTATATGCATTATATATCTTAATATAAAGTTATGTTATTACTGTAATTATTTCCAATGACTGGTCGTGGCTTTTATTACAACGCAAGTATTGACTCATGTGTAATATTTTCCTAAATTAAATTTTCCATGCAAGAATACGAAAAAATGGTGTTTAGAACTTCGAGAACTTTTTTTTTGGAATTGAACCTAGCGTAAACCTTATTCTGAGAAAACGTTTTACTCATTTCTTTTTTCCGTTTACTCAATTTGGACAGGTGTGAAAAAATATGAGAAAACTGATATTTACTCTTGAACCTCTTCGACTTTCTGTTAACTCAATTTTGATGACTTTGCATCTGATATTCGAAACTGGACATTATTGTGAAAAAAATTAAGAGAAATTTGCACTTTATCTTTACCTCTTTGACTTTCCAATCGCGAATTGATAATTTTGCAACCAATATTCAAAATTAACTAATATAGGTAATGCATTACAAATTAAATTGTAACATATTTGTCTTCAGAAATCAAAATATCTATCTTTATTTTATGCATTACTACATTTGCTTACAATATTTACGGGTATCGGTACATTCCAGTTAATTTGTTAACAATCTGTTTGAAAAAGATACCTGCACACAATTCTTTAAATTTTATTTTTCTAATAAGGATGCAGTGAAAGAGAAACTTACATTTGGATGAACCTATGTAACAATAACAATGTTCATGTACTTTTCATCCTGAATTTCAGCTTCTACAGAAGGGGAAAGGTGTACATATAAATGGCTTTTATTTGTATTGAAAGATTTTTTTTCATTTTTACATCATTGTTTTTGGTATATCAAGCCCATATTCGCAAACAATTCCGACAAAACATATGTGTTTGAATAAAACCAACGTTTAGTATGCATAAATATAATCATGTATGCAAAAAATTAACAAACACAAAATAATCATAGAGTTCATATTGTTGTTATGTTCAATTGTAAATTGGAATGGGTTTGCTTAACAGTGTAATGGAAATGTATATTAATATTCTACATTTGTTGTCAATGATTTGAATAAATGCAGTTTTCTGACAATTTTATCTTTTACTTTTTATTCTCCTGTATTTGTATTTACTTGTAACTTGTGTTGCCCATTTCAGTATTCACTTTACTATTGTGTGTTCCTAAAAACATTGGTAGGAAGATACTAATGAAGCAATGAAGAACCGTAGGTCTGAGAAAAACAGAAAATATCATTTCCAAACATGAAAGTGACAAAAGGATAAACAACAGTTCAGAAGAAAACTACAAAGAAAACAAAATATTTTGCGACACGAACAAAAACCGGGGTGAATTCAGTGTAAACTATTACTGCTCCATTACTGTAACTCGTCATGTTGCTCAAAACAAGAAAACATTCGGTGTTAAGTCGTACTAGCTAATGTCAAATTCGAGGAAAAGAAGGGCGAGATTGCGGCTGTGACATTTGGATTATAACAGTGTGACACATATATTCAATAATGGTAAACAAAATCATAATGACGCACGCAAAACTTTCGAAGAATGACTTCAACTTTACCTTTACCATTTGAACCCCTTGGTTCAATGGCTTCCTTGAAAGTAACAATCCGCTATAAAGGAAATCATCAGTCAAGGAACGAAGGACCTGGAAATAGAATCCACTTAAATACTCCTTTCCACTTTTGATCAAATCAGTGAAACAAATACAATTAAAGATGGCAATTCCTCTTTAAATGTGTCATGTAACATAGAAGATTTCTTGTAAAGTAAATAACATTCGTTTAACCAGATTTGCATATTTTTTTTTAAATATTACGTGTTATTGTTTCAATTCTAACAAGAAATAATTGTTATGGATGCTGTTACGAAGTCTCCCAAACGATGCTCCCATAATTCGTAATTCCCAGGGTGGCCTGACATTGGGCAAATTCTAGTGAAAATTGGTTTGGTCCAGTAAAGTTATATGCATTAGTGATGCCTGGGGACTAAGCCTGTAAATCATTCAAATCATCTTGGCATGATAAACCAGAATATATATGGTTTAGGGGTGGGGATCTCGACCATTTATAAGATACTAGAACATTGGGGTGGGGGAACCCCTGGGTAACGACCCTATACGTCATTCAAATGTTCGAGACATGACGAACAGGAATATATGGTTTAGGGGTGGGGATCTCGACCATTTACAAGATATTTGAACGTTGGGGGTGGGAGGAACCCCTGGGGACTGACCGTATACGTCATTCAAATATTCGAGACATGATGAACAGGAATATATATGGTTTAGGTGTGGGGGTCTCGACCATTTACAAGATATTAGAACTTTCTCAAATGGCAGGGGGTCAGGATGACCCCTGGGGACTACATGTAACCCTGTATATCATCTTCGCATGACAAACCAGAACATATATGGTTTAGGGGTGGAGATCTTGACCACTTACAAGATATTAGAACTTTCTTTAATGACAGGGAGTGGCGGTGACCCCTTGGGACTAACCCTGTATTTCATTTGATGTGCTTTATCATGACAAACCTGAATATATATGGTTTAGGGGTGAGAATCTCGACCATTTACAAGATATTAGACCTTTCTCAAATGGCAGGGGGTCGAGATGACCCCCTGGGGACTAACCCTGTATTTCCTTCAAACCATCTTAGTATGACAAACCAGAATATATATGGTTTAGGGGTGGGGATCTTGACCACTTAAAAGATATTAGAACTTTCTTAAATGGCAGGGGGTGGGTGTGACCCCTGGGGACCAACCCTGTATTTCATTTAATGTGCTTTATCATTTAGAACATTTTCAATTAAAAAGATTGTGTCTATCACACACGGGTTTCAATTTATAATCATTTGAAAATTTTAAAAAATAAAATCCCCTAGGGTTCTATAGTAAAACCCTCCTTTCTTTTCGCCCCTTAAAGTACCCCTTTATAAACCCCAATGCACAAACAAAACCCTGATTGCACCGCTAGACATGTTAGTCTAACATATTGTGAAACCCTAAGTTAATCGGACAAGCGGTTTAGGAGAACGGGTGCGGACAAGTTCAAATTTAAAAGCGACGGAAGAGGAAGAGGAATAATAATAATTATAATAATAATAATAACTAGATTTGTTATTGCTAGCCATAACGGATGGCACCCTTCCCCGATTGCCAGGCGATTGGCAGCCATTTCGAAAATTCCAAAGTCAAAGAGCGCATCTACACATGCAAATTATCATTTTTGTAAAGTTTCATTAAGTTTTGAGGATTTTGAAATTTTTGAAATTTTTGCTGTTTCCATGGTAGCGGCGGCCATTTTGGAAATTCCAAAGTGGAACATCTTATCTTCATATGCCAGTTATCACTACTGTAAATTTTCAGAAAGTTTGGAGCATTTCAAATTTTTTGAAATTTTTTATGTTTCCATTTTAACGATAGATATTTCCAAAATTCCAAAAGCAGACGCCACATTGGCACATGCCATGTTACATATCAATACAGTTTCATTCATCTCTATGTAATATTCATTAAGAAAATGCAGCATTTATGTATTTTTCCATAGGCTCAATGTTAAACTTTTGCCCTGTTTTCATGACAATGGCGGTCATTTTGGAACTTCTTAATATTGCATGCACATCTAGGCATATCAGATAACACTTCCATAAAGTTGCATCCACTTGGGTCTTAAAATGAAGGATTTAGAATTTTGAAAATTTTCACATTTTTGCAGTTTCCATGGAAACGGTCGCCATCTTTAACCATTCCATGCTTCGTGCACAACTTCACATGGGGTCCTCAATATGGTAGAGTTCAATGAACATTGGTCCATTGGATTTCGAGAAATCGCGCGGACAAAATGTGTGGAAGAAAAATAATAATAAGAAAAAAAAAGAAATATAGAACTAGATTTGTCATTGCAAGCAATAGCGGATGTCACTCTTCCCCCCATTGCCACTAAGTGGCAGCCATTTCAAAAATGTTAAACCGGGATGCTTATATATGCATGGCTATACATGTTTCTGTAAATTTTCAGAATATTTAGAGCATTTTTGATCATTTAAATTTTTTTGGCATTTTTGCAGTTTCCATGGCAACGGTGGCCATTTTGAAAATTCCAAAGTCAAAAGTCTTATCTAGACTTGCCAGTTAAGAATCATATAAAGTTTCATTAAGTTTGTAGCATTTTGTAATTTTTGGAAATTTTTGACATTTTTGCTGGTTTCCATGGTAACAGAGACCATTCCCAAAATTTAATGACAGGTGCTACATTGGTACATGGGAGGGAACATACCATTAAAATTTCAATGGATTTGACATACCATTTTAAGAATGTAAATGCCACTTTTAGGTTTTTGGATCATTTTGACCTGTTTTGCATTGTTTCCATGGTAACGGCAGACATTTTTGAAATTCCAACGCCAAATTCCATATCTACCAATGTTGCTCATCATTACTGTGAAGTTTCATTAAATTTTGAGCATTTTGATATTTTTGAAATTTTTGGTGTACTTTCCATGGCAACATAGTAGTTCCAGTGATTGCCAAAATCATCCAAAACCAGTATATAGTGGGCACCTACATTGTATTAAAATATCATGATTCTAAGTTTATGCATATCCAAAAAATCCACCAAACTCTAAAATTTTATTTTTTCACCTTTCTTTGGTTTCCATGGTGATGGCATCCATTTTTTAGTGCCAAAGTTGCACTGCAACTCGTAAGTTAGGGTTCCTTGTTATAGTGAACAACCATTAAGATTGGTGCATTAGGCTCTGAAAAAACTGCAGGACAAAATAAGGTGGAAGAATAATAATAATAACTAGATTTGCCATTGCAAGCAATAGCGGATGGCACCCTTCCCCGATTGCCAGGTGAGCGGCAGCCATTTAGCAAATTCCAAAGTCAAAGAGTGCATCTACACATCTGCAAATTATCATTTTTGTAAAGTTTCATTAAGTTTGGAGCATTTTGAAAAAATTGAACTTTTTTGCTGTTTCCATGGTTACGGCAGCCATTTTTGGGTAACATTTTCATAAAGTTTCATCCAGTTGGGTCTTATAACGAAAGAGTTAGAATTTTTGATATTTTAGCTGTTTCCATGGTAACGGCAGCCATTTTGAAAATTCCGAAGTCAAACTGCAAATCAGCACATGCCAGTTTCCATTCTTGTGGAGTTTCTTCCAGTTTGGAACACTTTGATTTTTTTTTGCATTTTTGCTGTTTCCATGGAAACGGCGGCCATTTTTTACCATTCCATAGCAAGGTGCACAACTTTACATGGGGGTCCTCATTATAGTAGAGTTCCATCAACATTGGTCCATTGGATTCCAAGAACTCGCGCGGACAAAATGTGTGGAAGAAAAATAAGGAAAAAAAGAAACGTAGAAGAACAATACGTCACCCCAACTCCGTTGAGGGTGCCATAATAAAAAAAAGAAACGGAGGAAAAGCAATATGTCACCCGACATTGTCGATCGGGTGACATAATAACAATACGTCACCCCAACTTCGTTGAGGGTTCCATAATAAGAACTGAGCAAAACCAATAAGTCGTTTGGGAGACTTAATTAATGAGATTGTAATAAAATATTTTCAAGTCCCCTTTAAAAAGGAACACAAATTGTCAATATTGTTTTCATTAGCTTTGCCTTCATAGTAACAGTCGTCACAAATGTCATGTTTTTTTTTTTTATTATATGCAATTCGAGAACATGATTTTATCAATTTACAAGTAAATGGTATGATTTTAATGTTCAGATACTGATGCCTCTATGATTTGATAACACTAAAATACCAATGCTTATCAAACTTTGGTCCATCCCCATCTGGAACTACTAGTTTACTAAGCTAGTTCTAGCCTAAACTTAATCCTAGCCTAAACATAGCCCTACCCCTGCCTAGTCCTAACACTAGTCCTTACCCAAAACAGTCTTTAGCCTAATCTTAATCGTAAACTGATCCCATAACCTAATTAGTATTAACTCCTGTAAAACAACTGTCAGCAAAACACTTGACAAAATCTTAAGATTGACTTTCACGAACCTCACACAATACAGGGGGTGAACTCACGTGAAGAAATTTTTAGAACTGAACTTTATAACAAAAAAGATTTATTCACCTTTCCGACTGTGGACATTTTTATATAACAGCACTCCAATAATATGTGATTTTTTTACGATGTCACAAAGCTTCTCTTTCCTAGCAAGTTTTTCTTGATAGAAGAGTACTACTTACAATATAAAAATAAAGAGATGTGGTATGATTGCCAATGAGACAATTATCAACCAAAATTCGAATGAAGTGGATGTAAGCAATTATAGGCAACCGTACGGCCTTCAACAATGAGAAAACCCCATACCGTATGGTCGGCTATAAATGGCCCCGACATGAAAAATATGAAACAATTCAATTGAGAAAACTAACGGCCTAATTCATAACAAAACAATTAATGAAAAACAACAAATATATATATATATATGACAGACATGAACCAACACCAACCACTGAACTACAGGATCCTGACTTGTGACAGGCACATAAAGAATGTGGCGGGGTTAAACATGTTTCTGAGCGCACAACCATCCCCCTAACCTGGGACAGTGGTGCAACAGCACAACACAGGAACAACACAACACAAAAACAACCAAACTATTAAACCAAGATGTCCTTAATCAATGGAAAAAAGGTCAGAATATATCAAAAGGGCACGTCAATCACGTGAAAAGGAAGAGCAGACGACACCGTGGGTAAAGTATAAAGAAGAAAACACAAAGAATAGTACAATAAACACTGACAACTTGAGACTGAACAATATCAACACCAGCAAACATCTAGGATTATCTAAATTACCTCTAAAAGGTATGCGATTCTTGCTCTTCTAATAGCATTCGACTTGTTATTTATTGCATGTAAAAATCCGTTCGTTAAGAGAGGCCAAGGATACCAAAGGGATATTTAAACTCATAAGTTGAAAACAAACTGACAATGCAATGGCAAATAAAGAGCTGCGCCATGAGCGCATAATACGCTCGTTGCCTTTTCAACGAATAAAGTTTCATAATTCCTCTTTGTCATATCAGAAATTTATAAATAAAAAGACTAAAGGGACACCCGTCGTGTTGCTCATGCAAGTACAAACCCGGTGATAAGTCTAATTCGGTAGGTCGCATTCGAGGAAAAGAGGACTTGATTGAAGTTACAACAATTGGAACATATCCGTCGTCATCTATGAAACAGAGATTCCATAACGGTCAAACAATTGGTGATTGCGTCCGTAAAATTTTCGAAGGGATGATTTCAACTTCACCTCTTTGAATTATTGGCTAAAAGGCTTCTTTGTAAGCAGCAACCATCTGGAATATCGTATCATCTGGGAGATATATGCACCTTGTCCTGGTGTTGCTGGAATGTTGCTACATAGAAATGGAAAGATCACACTTTGGATCTGAAATCATCTCTGTGGTCGTAAAGTTTTGTTCTCATTGTCATTAGTTTCACTCGGTTCTTAGTCATAAACCAGAAAGGAGAAAGATTTTATTAGCACATCCGTGGTCATTTGCAAATCTAATTTTCCGCAATGGTCAATCTAGTCGTGATGGCGTTTGTAAATTGTTAACGGAGATTACTTGACAAAATGTAAAACAATTCAAACGTTTAAACCAAAGGCCTGATGTATCTACTGAACAATAAACGAAAAACAAATGACATACAGAAACAAACGGAAACCATTGAATTATAGGTTTGGGACAGGCACATACAGAATGTGGCGGTGTTAAACATGTTTGCGGGATCCCAAACCGCACCCTTAACCTTGTACAGTGGTGTAACAGTACAACAAGCACAAACCATAAAATTCAATTGAAAAGGGTTTAACTCATCAGATCGATACAAAAAACAATAAAAACTGACAAAAGCACTCTCAAGACACAAACAACCCTAGCACTCGAAGTTACTCAAAGCTTGTTCAAAGTCAATTACTGATAACAAAAATCATGTTTCTAAGAAAACTATACTCACTGCGTGTAAACCGGCCAAAATATAAGGAAATTGAATTAAAGAGGGATGAAAAACATTAAACCGTGCAAGTGTCGTAAACTTAGAACGAAAGAAGAATATCGAAAGTATTCAGATAAATATTGCATGTTCTTCCCTTTCGCCAAAATGCGCTAAGATAAAGGAACAATATAGAACATTATGCAATAGTTCAGACTGCATAACAAGAAACCAATAACAGATATAAAAGCAATTTCACGAATATAACAAAGCCATTACTGCGTTTTCGCATATCTTAAAAATTCATTTAGGCCCAATGATGCGTTCATTTTCTATTAGATCTTTTTTAAATATACCATTAGAAGCAACGCAGTAGAACTGTTATACGCATGACAAATGTGCAATGGGTGACTAGGTAATTTTAAGATGTCTTCCTTTCACCAACACGTTGTGTAATCTTTTATGAGGCCTATGAATATTTCAATTTGATATATCGGATAAGGGGAGGTAATCGAAATTTGAAAAAAATAAACTGGTAAACCTCTAATATTAATTTCTATATCGACAGTAGTAGATCAATCATTAAATCTGAAATTTTGAAAATTGATCTATTGATATCGATGAATGACAATAAAAAAGAAAATTTGGGGTTGTTTACACTAGTAAACCTATTTTAGTCTGAAACGGTCATCATCTGAAAAGTCTGAACAAAAAATATTTTGTCTTGTTCAGCTATTCTGTCCATTTTCAGACTTATCCCCTGCGGTAAGTTCAGTACTATTCAGACAATTACCAAGCAGTCAATTCAGTTCTGTTCGGTAGTTTTTTTTTCAGACAATGCAGTATGGTGTTGATGTGTACAGGTTAATAGCAACTACTGAAAATTCGGAACATAGACTGACCGAATCTTAATTGACTGCAATCGAATTGTCTGGTCAGTACTGATTTTGTCGGAATTGCTTAGTCTGAAAATTTACTGAAAGTCTAATAATGACTTAATAAATTATTGTTCAGTCTTTTTTAAGAGATGTTCAGATCAAATGACCGTTTCAGATCAAAATTTGTTTACCAGTGTTACGTCAATGATACAGAAACTTAACAAAACATGAATAGAAATCTGTCCTCTGATCTGTGTTTTCTTTTTGACATGAATGTGTGTCATTAATATTTTTTTTTAATTTTTAGTCAGTGTATTATTACTAATTCTACAAAAAAAGATTGTTTTGTAAAAATGCTTTAAAGATAAAAAGGTACATTTATAACTTCTGAAAATTGATGACGACCCTATCTTATTGATGAAAGGATAACAGTTGGCTTAAGCTTTCAAGTTAGAAAAACACACGAACAGACTAAGTGTGAAGACATAAACATACCAATTCACAGAAGCACAATAAGGAGAAATTATGTCGAAATGTACAGATGAATGTAGACAAAAATATAGATATTTAGATGCTGATAGTAATTAAAAAGCAAGTGTTTATGTATGCAAAACTAAAAAATAAAAACTTTAGATTTTTTCAAATACATTTTTTACCACTTTATTTCTTAAAAATTATTGATGAACTACGAAAGAGTTATCAATGGAAAGCATTCTCTATCCAAAGATGACTATCACAATCATATCCAAATATTTGACAATCCGTCCGTAGTATAACATGTAACCGTCTGAGAACATCTTTTGGCACTGACATAAATGCTTCTTGTAAGTAATCATTTCTATATTGCTTGGATTTGGCGTTGTCTTTCGATTCTTTAACAGCTTGTTTTAACGCTTTTATATATTTTTCTTTTGTTAGACTTTCACTTTCACTTTCATGAAATGGAAACTCTGCATATTTACTAATTAAGCCTCTTGATTTAAACTTCGTCCACATTCGTTTTTGGTTTTCATAAATACTTAAACAATTTTTAGTTTTTGCAAAGGATCCAAATAATATCTTAGTTTGATCAATAAACGAATCTTCACGAGTATCTTCGGTAAATTGTTTTTCAAGGGTATCATGTAGTTCTGTCATATTTAATATTTCCAGAACGCTCAATGTATCTTTTGACATGGATTCCATTTTTGCTATGATATCATATTTAATTTCACATGGACGGCAATGGTCGTACATTGGAAGAAAATGTCCGTCTCGTCTTTTATTATGAGTTTCAGAATGTATGAAATATTTAATGAATTCTGTAAACGTCAAATCATGTCCACATTTTTTACTAATATTTGACGGCTTATCTCGAAATGTTTCCACACCAAATTTTCCTATGCTCTCCCAGAACATAAGATTCGCTGAGAAAAGTTTGTCCATATATCCCGAGTAAAGACGTGCGTAAGGATCCCTTACAATTATAAACTTTTTCGATGAACTAAGAACTGAATGAATATCATCAAATGATAATGTTTTGAAAGTCTCTTGATGCCCTCCAAGGGCAGCACCAGGAGGAATATCGAATGGACTCGTTTTCTTCGAAGAGCCAGAAATAATCTGTAAATACACAAATTATTAATAACATAACTGATTGGGTCGAATACATGTACATGTATGTGAATTTTACAATTTCAATATGTTATCCCGTTGCATTTCCTAGGAATAAATTGTCGTATTGGATTTTTTCATACATATATTAACACAAACAAGGTATTATGCTTATTTTTCAACCTTTACCTTTGACTTCGTTTTCCGAATGTTAAAGTATGTTGTGGTTATCATTCTAGCACAACTGCGGTTGTCCACATTAGGCTATATTTATTAGACGTATTTTAATGGTCTTTAGTTTGACCTTTGTTTAATGTTTTTCAGTGGGTAAAATACGCAAAGTTTGCTTTCAGCAACTGCTAGAATTCTTTAATACACTATGGTTCATGAGTTTTTGTTGTCTGTATTATAACAGTTTCAAGTATTTTCATGTACTGTGTTTTTCTTTCTTTTTTTATGTTATTCCACTTATCAAGATTAAAAATGTAGAGGGTTGAAATGTTCAAACCTTAATTTAGCTCCACCCAATGTGTATATGCCTGTCCAAAGTCAGGAACCTTGCCGTTGGTTGTTTTTGCGTTTTATCTTAATGGTATTCTGTATTTTTTTGGAATTTGGCAATATTGGAGACCTCGGATAGTCACTGTTTAGTTAATTCGTGACGTTATCTAGACTCTGAGCAACTTAGAGTTTTATAAATTGTATAACCATTTTTTATTGTTGAAGATCTGTAAATAAAGTTTTGTGTCTTTGGTTTGCTATATAAATGACGCGTATGCTACTTTTCCTTATTCATTACAGTGTACGTGTATCATGTTGACCCATATTTGTTGGACTTTATTTGAAATTACGTAGATACACACGAAGTATTCTACAAACATACAGTATCAGAAACGTGAACCATTTATACAATACGTGATTACGTTTTGTAAAATCCTTAACTTTAAATTTTTGTTTCAACTTTTATTACCTGAAATAATCTTCTCCAAAACGTCGAACCAATTTTTTCCATTGCACAATATATAAATTTATGTTTTCTATCTATTACGAAATGGTTCCTGAGAGTGCCCTCTGTATTCTTAGCTGTATAGCTTGTTTCATTACTACTGCAAGCATCTATCATTGTGTTTCGTCTATCTTTAAATATTTTCAAATTAGGATCTTCTTGAATCTGTCAAATAAAATTAAAAAAAAGTCAGAAAAATATATTCTTCAATTTATTGAAAGATTTCTTTTCAAATATGATTAAACGTTCTACCAAGGATATAATAACATGCAACATTTTGCGGATGGTCGGAATCAGATAAAGAACATAAAAAGTTTTCAATATCAAAAGATATAAATCTTTCTACTTTAAATAGACAGTGTTTATATTAATAAACTAGTTTGGCTAGGATATATGTTTGTTATAATGTGGTACATCATGATTGTATCTTTTTTATTGTGTTATCAAATCATAACTATGTTCGCAAATTCCTTCCGGTAATGTTATTTATAAAACGGTTTTTGAAGTTCTGTTTAGACAATCGGCAATCCTCGGCAGTTTCCGGTATCCTACATCATAGCTAAGATTATTAGATTTCTTTTCAAATATGATTAAACGTTCTACCAGGGACATAATAGCATGCAACTTTTTTGCAGATGGTCGGAACAAGACAGATAAATTAATTTACAAACTAGCTGATATATGCTTGTTCAAATGTGGTACATCATGATTGTAAATTTTCATTTTTTTTTTAAAGTATGCTATTATACCATAATTTTTAAAGGTCGCAATTCCTTCTGATAATATTACTTGTTTATGTTCTGTCTAGACTATCGGCAAACCTAGGCAGATTCCGGTACCCTACATCTTATCTAAGATTAAAAGATCTGCCGAGGTGTGCCGAATGCTGTTTAGACTGTTTTACGTGTTGATGATCCAAAATGTTTAATGTATATGACTCTCGAAATCTATTACGCCGCCAATATTTAAGTCTCGATGGTACTTGATAAAGATGAATTCAAAAGTAATTATCATGCACACTTAAATCGGTGACATTCGTAAGTTTTACTTTCACCAAGTTTGTATTATTGCTATCGCTGGTCAGGCAGGTGTCGTCTGCTTAGTACTTTCGGTCCTCCCATCATTTTAATGACACATCGGCATTGCAAATTTTTAGTTTGTTAATTATGTAATTGTTATAAAATTAAGATTCTAATTCTCTTAGGCATTTTTAATATTCCTATTGGTGTATTTTTTAGTTTATGCTTCACGATGTTATAAGCATTTAGCCTAAGAGATATTTTGAGGACACGATGAAGGTTATTCCAAAAAAACATATCGCGTTTACAAAAGATCCATCAAGTATGCCAACCGAAATATGCAGTAGTTTGAAGTTAAGCTCATGTGTACTTTTTTTCTTATTATTATATTTGATTTTGTGCAAACATCTACACTAGTTCGTGATGATATTGTGTGAATATTTTTGGGCCAGTGATGGATAAAAGTGTATACAAAGGTATAAGTTGAGTCTCAATCAAAAAGTGCTTTGGAAATTCTTTAATTCTTTTATACAATTTAGATTGCATAATTGCTTTTCATTAACATCCAACTTTTTGACGTCTTATGTTTCACTAAAATTTTTAGTGAAGTTTTTTTTTATCGGTTTTCACTGTGATCATGAGAACAGTGCAAGAGGCGATTACATACATATAATAGAATTGAGAATGGAAAACGCCGAATGTTTCTTAGTCAACAACCCGACCAAAGAGCAGAAAAACAGACAAGGCCACCAGTGGGTGTTCAACGCAGCGAGAAAACTCCTAAACAAAAATGCATACTAGCTCAGGGAAATTGACGCCACACTTAAATCCGAAACATATAAATGAATCAAAATTAAAAACCAGACAAGACTATCAAAGGCTATGGGTTCCTCCCATGGGACAGGCGCAAAAACGCGGCGGGGTTAAACACCCCTCCCCCTTCACCTCTAACCAATGTGGAATAAACAAACACACAGCAATATACACAGTAAAACTCGGTTTAAAAGAAGTCCGAGTCCGGTGTTAGAATAGATAACAGAAGAAACTAAGCAAAGTGACAATGCTCAGCAAGTTAACTAACAATGGACTACTAACAGTAACTGACATGCCAGCTCCAGGTCTCAATTGGTCGAAAGATTATGTCTGCATCATATAAAAATCAAGCACATATCCCTCCCGTTAGGGATTTAATATCATGTCATCATAATTTATACGAGAACATAACCCGTATCATGCCAACAACTGGTTTTAGAATAAATGCGTTTATTTCCGATGCAAAGACCCTATGCGTGAATCGATATCAATTCCCCAAAATTATAATTATTATATGAATGAGTTGTTGTCCTGATACGTATGTAATATTTGTCACTGGATGTTAAACCCAAATTGATCATCATCATCATCATCTATCGATAAAATGATTTTTATAATCTTTGGAAACCGATCAATCCGATTAAACCATAAAGATTCTTTAAACCGATTGTCCCTATTGTGATATTTTGACTTAGTGTGGATTATCATGTTGTGTGATGGCCAGTTTCGCTCCTTTTGTTATAGTTACGATTCCATAAGTTTTTGTTTTTATTTTGGTTTGTAACTTCTTAATAGATTACTGAGATTTGAACATGGGTAAACTTTTGTTACCTCTAATTCATACTATATTGTACACTTGAATATTAATGTTATCTATTGTCATTGATCGGAAATTAATTATATTGTCAATTTACGGAAGCTTCGTATGACAAAGGCAGAGTCGAAAGTTCAAAATCCTTTTGTTGTGTTATAGTACCGATTTATAACGTTAATGATCAAATTAAGTGGGGGATAATCACGCAATATAATCAAGGAGTAATTATTAAAACTATGTTTCGTATCGCCACATGTTTACGAATAACGTCATTGGTTTTCGCTGTCTCTACATGTTTCTTTTTATTCAAAGGAACTTGGGTAATTTATTATTTTACTTTCAAAATCAATACAGAGTAACTGTTACACTACGGCATAGGTGCTTGTCAATTGTAGATGTCTATTTTGCTTCACTTCTGTTATTCAGTTATACATTAATTCCACAACTTTTTATTCTTTGAAATGATTTTAATCTCCTTATTTTCTTATTAATAGACTGTAAGGGGAAAATCTTTATCGGTTCCAATCGTTTAACTTTATTTGAGTTATTGAGCACTTTAAATATGCTATTTTTTGTTGTTTTTTTTAAGTTGGAAAGAGAGAACTCGAAGGCATATGCAATTGTAGTGCAGATCCTTGAAAACAAAACTAAAACGACCCAAAAATAACACCTTCTGCTGATCATTCAATGCTTTTAAAAAAAACTACGATATAATGAAAAGTATTTGTAGTCGTTTAAGACTGTACCAAAGACTTCAGTACAAATACATCATTAATTTTCTTTCCCTGTCAAAGAGTACATATTAGGAAAGAGGAATAAACAAAAACTTACGATAACGACTTATGTGTCAATGACGTTTTTTTTTTTTTTCTTTAATGGCCTTTACATGTAGCAGGTACATTTGTACGTGTACGCTCGAGATAGGTTTGAGAAGTCAAAGTAATAAAACATTTAGTACTGAGGGTCAAAATAGCTTAGAGTAAACTTTTTCTGACGGAGTTTTATTATTATTAATTTACTACCAAAAGGTGTCATTCTAAATGTAATTAAATGTGCTAGTACGGAAGCAAAATAAACATAAATTTCTAAATTATAAAGAAACCAAGGTTTCAACTCACTCAGATCAGGCAGAGTTTACCTTAGGTTAACTGGGCTATTTTTATGTCCTTTTTGGTCATTACATGTAACTAAACTGTTTCGGTTCTTTTACAACCTTCAAGTTGGCTTCCAAATGTTGGGATGTGAGTGTTCCTGGTGGAAACCAGAAAATCGATTTAGACACTTGAAATTTATAAAGTGTTGTTTGCATTTTTTAGCTCACCGGGGCCCAAAGGGCCCCATGTGAGCTTATGCCATCACTTGGCGTCCGTCGTTTGTCGTCGTCGTCTGTCGTCGTAAACTATTTCAAAAATCTTCTCCTCTGAAACAACTGGGCCAAATACCTTCAAACTTTAAATAAATGTTCCTTCGGGTATCTAGTTTAAAAATTGTATCCGAAGTTTTGATCCATCGACAAACATGGCTGCCATGGCTAAAAATAGAACATAGGGGTCAAATGCAGTTTTTGGCTTATATCTCAAAAATTAAATTAGAGCAAATCTGACATGGGATAAAATTGTTCAATTGGTCAAGATCTATCAGCTCTGAAATTTTCAGACGAATCGAACAACCCATTGTTGGGTTGCTGCCACCGAATTGGTAGTTTTAACAAAATTTTGCAGTTTTTTGTAATTATTTTGAATATTATTATAGATATATATAAACTGTAAGCAGCAATAATGTTCAGCAAAGAAAGATCTACAAAAAAGTTAATATGACCACAATTGTTAATTGACCCCTTAAGGAGTTATTGCCCTTTAAAGACAATTTTACACAATTTGTTCATCAAGTTTGCTAACATTTAAAAATCTTCTCCTCTGAAATACAGGTGAGCGATTCAGGCTCTTGAGAGCCTCTTGTTTATATATATATAAGCTAGAATTCACTGTAGGAGAGACTTTCGTGTAATCTAAATGACATAGCAATACTCTGCAAACGTGGGGAATTATAAATGATGTTTTACTATTACATGATAAATCAATATAATAAAAGATCTGATTTACCTTTTCATCTGTGTGTCGGATCAACATGTCTCCTTCAATGAAAACAAAAGCAAAATGTAATTCTTAAGCCTTTAGTTTTATGAGTTTTATTTACACAAAAGTACTTGACTGGTTGATAATTTTATCAATAAACAAGATGCTTGCCTTAACCTTCAAACAAAAGACTTCTTTTCCTTCATCCAGAATAATGGACTATCATATGCATTGTGTTTTTGTGTTAGTATAACTGTTTATAAGAAAAAAATCGAATCATGTGTAAAATTGTAAAATGAATAAAATAGAACAAATATTTTTAAATATGTACTCATCGTTTGCATTTTTTATATAAAAGATAATTTCACAGATGAAATCGCAGTCTACAATGGATAAATTATTCGAATTGCACTATGTGATATATACGTCAATTAGTCAGCAACCTAGCAACACAAACGAATCAGAAACGAAATTTAGAGGCCAACACAATGTCTTCAATAATAAATAGTTTAGTAAATAAATAGTCTACACGTGTATTTCAGGCATGAATTTTAAGCATGTACAAGTTTCATTTGCAGAGATAAAATCAGAAAGTTAAACTGGGTTATGACGTCTTTAAACTAAATCCATTGGATGTTGGGTGTGTACTGATTGATATTTTATTTAGTCTTAGATGCATGATTTTTTTGTATTAGTTGATATTGGCTTTGAACTAGCTGTCAGTAACTGCGAGTACTCTCAGATCTGTACTTAGTGTCTTTTTGTTGTGGGGATGTATAAGTACCCGCCCACGTCCACGCTGTGTTTTTGATAGATGTATTTCTATTTGTATCCATCTGATGAGTTAAGCCTTTTTCAAATGATTTTGATTGTTTGTTCTTATGTTGTACTGTTACACCACTGTCCCAGGATAGGGTAGGGTTGGCGCCTTCAAACGAGTTTAACCCCGTCACATTCTATATTTGCCTGTCCCAAGCCAGGAGCCTGTAGTTGAGTGGTTGTCGTTTTTTGCTGTTTCTCATATTTGCTTTTCGTTTATTGTTTTGCATAGTTCGTTCTCAAGTTGTGCCGTTACACCACTGTCCCAGGTTAGGGGAGAGGTTTGGCGCCAACAAACTAGTTTCACCCCGCCACATTCTGTATGTGCCTGTTCCAAGTCATGAGGAGCCTGTAATTCAGTGGTTGTCGTTTGTTGCTGTGTAACATATTTGTTTTTCGTTCATTATTTTGTACATAAATTAGGCCGTTAGTTTTCTCGTTTGAATTGTTTTACACTTGTCATTTCGGGGCCCTTTATAGCTGACTATGCGGTGTGGGCTTTGCTCATTGTTGAAGGCCGTACGGTGACCTATAGTTGTTAATTTCTGTGTCATTTGGTCTCATGTGGAGAGTTGTCTCATTGGCAATCATACCACATCTTCTTATTTTTATATATAGAGCAAATATTTTTCAACATGTTAACAAATACTCATGAAATCAAAATAAATATTCAACCCTACACATTTTTGTTCAAGGCAATTTTATATTAAAACAAGAATGTGTCCATAGTACACGGATGCCCCACTCGCACTATCATTTTCTATGTTCAGTGGACCGTGAAATTGGGTCAAAACTCTAATTTGGCATTAAAATTAGAAAGATCATATCATTGGAAACATGTGTACTAAGTTTCAAGTTGATTGGACTTCAACTTCTTCAAAAACTACCTTGACCAAAAACTTTACCTGAAGCGGGACAGATGGACGAACGAACGAACGAACGAACGGACGCACAGACCGAAAAAACATAATGCCCCTCTACAATCGTAGGTCGGGCATAAAAATCTGAATTGACATTTTATGGCTTTAAAAAGTTTGTAAAGAACACCCGGAACGGAAATGAATTAATTGACACCTTAAGGAAAATACACTTCTCTAGTGATAACATTATAACTAAGGTCCCAACTCTCGCTGGTAAAGTTAACCTTAGATAAATTTGTCTATTATTTTTAGGTCCCTGTTGATCATATAGTTCCCAACGTTTAGTCTTCGAGTTTTCACATCCCTGAATTTCAGATTTTTAGATTTGGCGTTCCTGGTGAAAGAAAATCGAGAAAAGCGCTTCCGAATCACGAAATTCATTAAATACTAGATTCATTTCCATAGAATGTAATTGGGTTAGAATGCACATCCTATTCTTATTTTTTCAGATTCTCGAATGTATCCAAAGTCTTTTAGAATTGCAATTTTTGTCATCTGTAATACTAACAACATCTGATACACAAATTTAATAATACTTTTAGATATTTGGATGATATTTTGGCTCTCAATAATGACGACTTCAGTATGTATACTAAAGAAATTTATCCTGTTGAACTTACTTTAAATAAAGCTAATACTAACAATGACCACTGCCCTTTCCTCGATCTTGATATCTATATCATTAATGGAAAGCTTAATACTAAAATATATGATAAAAGAGATGATTTTTCATTTCCTATCGTTAATTATCCATTTTTAGATGGTGACGTTCCCTTGTCACCATCTTACGGTGTTTATATATCTCAACTTGTACGATTCGCTCGTGTATGTAACAATGTTTTAGATTTTAACGAGAGAAATTTATGTATTACTGAAAAATTTTTACACCAGGGTTTTCGATATCATAAACTAGTCAAAACATTTACTAAATTTTATCATCGGTATAAGGACTTCATTCGTAAATATAGCTCAACATGCAGACTTCTTATACGTTCAGGTATTTCACATCCAATTTTTTATGGAAATATTCTTTATAAAGCACAAAAATGTCAGTATTCACTTCTGAAGCTAACAAAACCTTTAAATGGACTTATTAAGAAGGGATATAGTTACGATACTGTTGTCAGGTCATTAAAGATTGCATATTTTGGCTTAAATATTGATTCACTTATAGGGTCTTTGCATCGGCACTAAACACATTTATTTAAAAACCAGTTGTTGGCATGACACGGGTTATGTTCTTCTCATATATGTTATGATGGTATGATACTAAACCCCTAACGGGAAGGATTGTGCCTGATATTCATATGATGAAGACATAATCTTTCAATCAGCTTAATTGAAGTCTGGAGCTGGCATGTCAGTTAACTGCTAGGAGTCTGTTGTTATTTATGTATTATTGTCATTTTGTTTATTTTCTTTGGTTACATCTTCTGACATCAGACTCGGACTTCTCTTGAACTGAATTTTAATGTGCGTATTGTTATGCGTTTACTTTTCTACATTGGCTAGAGGTATAGGGGAGGGTTGAGATCTCATAAACAAGTTTAACCCCGCCGCATTTTTTCGCCTGTCCCAAGTCAGGAGCCTCTAGCCTTTGTTAGTCTTGTATTATTTTTAATTTTAGTTTCTTGTGTACAATTTGGAGTTTAGTATGGCGTTCATTATCACTGAACTAGTATATATATTTGTTTAGGGGCCAGCTGAAGGACGCCTCCGGGTGCGGGAATTTTTCGCTGCATTGAAGACCTGTTGGTGACCTTCTGCTGTTGTCTGTTCTATGGTCGGGTTGTTGTCTCTTTGACACATTCCCCATTTCCATTCTCAATTTTAGTCACTTTTTATATATATTTTGGCCAAGTACAAGAAAAAGAGATACCGTGCATCATAGATAAGATGTGAGGAATCTTTAAAAATAACCTTGCTTTAAAATATATACAAGGGAAATTAGCCTAACCCTTGAAAAGTGACTACGGTTACCAAAGATCAGTACAAAATGTGTATTTTTACATTGTTGCTGAGTTCCAATCAAGTTGTTCTGTTGTGCTGTAACAACACTGTCCCAGGGAAGGATTGAGCGCGGAAATCATGTTTGACCTCGCAATTTTCTTTAAGTACCGATACCAAGTCAGGAGTCTGCAATTCAGTGATTGCTGTGGGTCATATTTGTTTTTCGTTCATTGTTTTAGAACAAATCAGGCCGTTGGTTTTCTATTTTGAATTATTTCCCATTTTTTCATGCCGGGGCCTTTAATAACTTGATTGTTGAAGGCCATTCGGTGACCAATAGTTGTTAACATCCTCATCGTTTAGTCTCTAATGGAAAGTATATGTAGTCTTATTGATAATCTTACCGGTACCACATCTATTTTTTTTCTAAATATGATTGTATTCAATAATAACATTACACATGTATATCTATGATTATTACAAAGTGTTTATGATTGATCGGTTGTTTCTTGCTTAAAATTCCTAAATGTTTATAAGTACATGTATTCAACCTGCTTTTGGGAACATCATCATTAAAAATAACCTTAAACCAGATAGGGTTACGATTCCGGATTTTAATCAGTTTTATTTTGTACGATTAAAGGGGTGTGGTTTTCAGTAAATCAAAATACGTTACAAAAATTCAACCGTGTCTATTGAGTTTCACAACAATCCCTCTTCATTATCCGGGTCATTAAATTCCGATCGTATTCGGTTGAATACGTATGGTTTCTCAATTTAAAAACACCCATTATCATTTACTAGACAAAGTATTTAAATTTTAAAAGTCTTAATAAGATTCATGTCACGATTTTGTTTGCGAATAGCCATTAGTATTTTACACTCAAACTGTTTACATTCGTCTTTATAGTATCATTTATTTCCCCAATTCTAAATTTATTATTTGTTTGTTTACTATAAATGAAAAATACTAAATCATTGAATCAAGAGAAGAAGCCTGCCTGCTAACAGTACACAAGACTGAAACCACAAAAATGTAAACATAAGTTTCGCCTTCTGTTTCATGATACAGGTAGATTTTAGCGCAAAAGACTGGTATGCCTTTTATAATCACCATGAACAGTAATGATCTGAGACTATAAAGTGTGATATATTATAATTATACATACATAAAACGTATGGGAGTACAATGTAACAAAAGGAAAAGGATTTGAACAATTAATTTGCTTTACAAACTTAATTAAAAAATGCTACGTGTAATGTACGCACCTGTTCCTGTCCAGGAGTTTTGTTGTGTTACAATGTTTCCATGTAGACCCAGAGATATCAAAATTATGGTCGTCATAAGAAATAGAAAGAAAACATATCGCTTTATAACATATAGCCGCATCTTGATAAGTATTTTTACACTTCCAAAGTTCCATCAGAAAAGGGTGTTATCGATTACCATTGGAGTCGTCACATCTATCCTGAAAATAACCAATCCATGAAACATTGATCAGTCGAGAAACTACGCCCTAGATTTAATCACACCTTCGTTTAAAAATGTGCCGGTTCATTGCTTTAGAAAAAAAAAACTACGCGTATAGACATTGTTTGGGTGTATTTACGGGTAGCGAAGCAAATCGATCAAGGTTGAGGTATTTCTATGTGATTCTTGTGAAGATTTTTTTAGTCCAGTCAAATATACGTATTTTAACTGCCTCAAACAGTTTATTCAAGATACCATTGAATTGTCTTATCATTTGTTAAATGGATGCAATCGTAAATCGTTAAATATTAGTACTTAACTGACATTAAAGTTGAAAATATCAATATTTACTTAGTATTTGATTTTATTTAAATTATTTAAATAATAAGATCTTTAACGGTAATAAAACGGTTACTTATATTCTCATTATTAACTCATACAAATATATAATTCAAACGGGCCATCATAAAACAAATTCAATCCAACCATTTTTTTTGTTTTCTTTTTTTTTTTTTTTTTCCTTATTGTTTGTGTGTAAGTAAAATATTTGTTTATATTATATCTGCATATTCATGTGCATGTGCAACGTCAGGAAACCTGGTCAGTCGTTGTTTTTGGAAATGTGCATTAACAAAATAAAATGTAGTTTAAGGAAATGTGTATTCGTAAAAGATCTTGATAGATAGTCTCTGTAAAATTCATTCAAACTATTTTTTAGATTTAGGTCATTTAGAGATTGAGATATTGCATATGTACTTGTCTAATGGCAAAAACCATTATGTTGAACTCGAGATGTCTGACAGTTTTATTTGTCGTTGGGTTATTGTCACATTGACGTTAATCCCACTCCTAGCCTTATTGATTATTTCAAAGTTTCGCAGAAAAGATCAAGTGTGTTTTTGTATATGTATCAGCGTAAAAACTCATCAAAATGTGTTACAATTTTTTAAGTGATAAATTTGATATGAATCAAGCTTCCCTATACACATCATCTAATAACACAAACAAATAATGATATACGGAATAAGATACTTTTCCATACGGATGTGAACGTCTATGGTAAGATGTATGTAGTCTTTATGACAATTCATGAAAACAAACCATTTACGATACACATGCGTTTTACATAAATGTAGAAAATTAAAACAATAAAAAAATTCGAATAAATATTTTGTTGACGTGTCCCCTCTAAACAGTAGTTGAGAGTAAATAATTTTCAGTCGTATACAGACGTTTTGCCTATACATGTAATTTATATAAAACATTTTAACTTTGAATTCGTTCAACAGATTAAAATTTACCTTTCACTTTTAAAAATTACATGACAGGCTTTGTTTCAGTGACAATGTATATGGAGCTACCAAAAACACTAATTTCTGTTGACCATTAGGACCTATATATAGAAGGAATGGTAAAACTCTCCATCCATATCAATGATATTAAACCATTAAACCATTAAACATTAAACTTGGTAGCTATAATAGATATACGTTTACTTACAATAACAGATTCTTTTTCACATCCGATAGCTTATATTCCTTTGTCAGGTAAGTCATACTTTTTATTTATTATTGTACATGTAAATAATGAAAGAAAAATCTATAATACTTAAAAGCTATTTCATTACTATCTTAATATGCTTCCACACGCCACCCTAACATGGTCAATAAATACTTTGTTAAAAATTAGTGTATCTACCTTGATATTGATTTATAAACAAACAATAGTGTCTAATAAGCATTTCTATAACTCAGGGTGTTTAATTCTATCTGTTGAAAATGTTTTGTCTGTCACTGTTGAACTATCATCTAAGTTTTGACACGCATTTACATCCTTGTCCCAATCAATAATTTTGTACATGTAATATACATATCAATTACTAGAGACAACATACATGTATTTATTTCCCTTTATTTCTTGGAAAGGTGTTAATTTTACAATTGACAGAAATAAATGAAGCTGTAAATGTATTCAACTAGCACTGGTATTTATCAAATTATTAACCGTACAATTTAATAATTAGTGCCGCTATGTGTGAGAGTCTCAATATTTGGAAAAGAACAGATTTTATTTTTAAAAATCACTAATTGGGATGATGATGGATTGTTGCCAATGTTGTTATGGTGACAAATTTACCTGTAATGTAACCGGTTTGTCATCGATCTTTAATCGAATCCTTTCTGAGATCGTGTTTTCTTACGATACAAAAACATACTGAATGCAGTTTAATTACAAAATGAACGATTCACTTATTATATATAATCAGAGTATATTTAGTGCAATGTATGTCGGGACAATATGTAATAAATATGCAAAACATAACGTTATACATGTAAATTTACGGAGATCAAGATAATTTAATGTTATTGTTTTATTGCAACTCTTTTCGGAATAACCTTATGTTTTGAATGGCCTTTTACGAGCCAAACGTATCACCGCCAAATTGAAGCAGGCTCTGTAATTTGATTTATAACATACTAAAATATTTACTAGAATTACATTTTAATCACCGAATATGCTAAGCACATGCGCAACCAATCTCAAACAAGAGTAAAATTAATCTAAAGGTTGCATGCATATGGCCAAAATGAGGTCAAATTATTGTCTTGCAATACAATAATATATCAGCGATATAAATATGCGTATACTTACAAAAATGAATCAAACTGACTGCTTATACATGTAGCGAATAATTATTATTTCAATATTCCTCTTTATCAATGTTTAAAAAAAAGCATAATCTTTTGTCTTAATCGTAGCAAATGCTCCTATAACATATTTCATGTTTAACAAAATAGTATTAGATTTATAGTTGTGCTTTCACAAGAAAAAAATGTTTGAAATCTGAAGCCGACTTAATTGTTACAAATATTGTATTGCTAGAAAAATCCATATTTATTACTATTTCAAAGGCTATGCAAGATGAACAAAATACATATGAATTATACGTTAGGGTTACTATCATGATAGAAAAGAAAGGATTGTATGAACATTGGTGAATATTGTCTTGAGTATATTTTTATATTGCACGAGCTTGCGAGTTCAAAATGTATTCTTCGAGACATAATAATCACTATTAGTCATGCAATAACTAAACATAATTTTGTTACTTGTGACGTCAATAACTTGAAGCTATAGCAATAGCAATAGCAATAGTATAGACTGTTGCACGTTAGCATGTGGAAAATATAATGTTGATATAAAATTAAGCTGTGCCACAACAGTGTACTGAAGATACACTTTGTTTAATGACACTGTTTTTCTTATCTGTTTAAAATATTTCATGATAGCATAACCTGAATAATTCAGTCGTTATATTTCGCTACTCTTTGATGGCTACATTAACCCCCTGTCAATCCTAGCAAGTAGGAGAGATTAATAACAGAGAGGGACAGCATTATTCTGGTTAATGACAACAGAAAAAAAAGTAGTTGTCTTTTTTGTTGTTAGGGATGAGGGATGGATATCTACCCTTCCACGTCCTGTCTGTTTGTTTGATCTTTTTCTTTGTATCGATCTGATAAGTTAAGCCTTTTTTAACTGGTTTCTATAGTTTGTTCCTATATTATACTGTGACACCACTGTCGCAGGTTAGGGAGCATTGAGCGCTCACAAACATGTTTAACCCTGCCACATTCTTTATGTGTCTGTCCCAAGTCAGGAGCCTGTACAATGTAGTTCAGTGGTTGTCGTTGGTTGACGTCTGTCAAATTTATTTTTCGTAAATTGTTTTGTTATAAATTAGGCAGTTAGTTTTTTAATTGGATTGTTTCATATTTTTCATGTCGGGACCTTTTATAGCAGACTATACGGTACGGGTTTTTCCTCATTGTTGAAGGTCTTATGGTTGCCTATAATTGCTTACATCCACTTTACTTGAACTTTGGTGAATAGTTGTCTCGTTGGCAATCATACCACAAGCATCTCCTCATTTTTATATATATATACATTATATTATTTCTTAAAATTGAAACCATGTGCGTGTGCTTGTACTTTGTAACATGATGACCCTTTCATCAATATAGACATCAAGATGTATTGCCTATCTATTTTCCTTACATTAATTGTACAAAGTATCCTTTATTTGATGTTTTTTTTTCTATTGAAACTGAAACTTGGGAACATACATTTTATTCATTATAGATATCAGGCTTACAATTTTGTAATCCAGACGAGCGTTTCGTTTGCAAAAGACGCACCAGAGACGCTCGAATCAAAAAAGTTAAAAAGACCAAATAAAGTACGAATTAAGTAGAAGAAAGAGTATTGAGGATCCATGACTGTATGTTTATGTTAAAAACTCAATTAGGTAGTTTGTAGTCAAATATGTAAGGAACCGAAAAATCATTATGAATAATTAAAATGATATTGACCAAACGACACCATTTTTAACAGTGTGGTCTAATTTAATTGGTCTTTACAACTTAGAGACAAGACTATTTAATTTCATATTTCATAATTTACAACAAACAGTTTGACAATCTTTGAGGGGTTTATGACATCATTATTATCAAGAACTGTGTTGACATTTACGTAGTGACTATGATCAATATGAGTATTCATGTTTAAAGTTATACTATTCAAACACTCTAGAATAAGAAATGAGGAAAGAATGTTTGGTTTAGTTACAGTTTCTGTACTTATTACTAAAACACGCTCTAGCAAAACCAAATCGTTCGAAATTTGAATAAACTAACTAAATGTCATATAGTTACTGAGAAATTTGATATTTACAAATACATAATATCTATTATACATTAACATGATTATACATTAACATGCACGTGTGTGAACAAACTTAACTTAACTTGGAGGACTGATTTATATGTGTATTATTTTTAAAAACTTACATAACCTTTTCTAAAATGATTGAATTGTCTGAATTAACTTAACCATTAAATTTGTATCTATTAGGATTTTTACTGCAATATTCCGTTAAAATATTCTTTCTCTCTGCATCCAAGGATTTACACGTTATAATGAATGATATCCGTCATCGATATCACTTGACTCTCAGAGATGACAAAGTCTGTCGTTTCCAGACAAGCCTCGTCGAAATTCTATATATTAACAAAAATGAAGGGACATGAAGTAAAACACAGATAAATACACGACATTTCATCTGGGAATAGTAATCAATATCATTATATACAATTATGTACACTTTTAGTCAGAATAGCTTGTTGATAAACAACCTATTACTATGCATCCCGCTGTAGCCAGCAATATGATTTATATTTTATATATCAATAATATAACGTGATAAATTATCCGAGTTAAAGATTTTGTAATTTTGACCACAAATCCGATACGTTGACCAAACTTTATGACACTGTAGTCCATGTTATGCTGAGGAAAGTTAATCTCGAAATCTTTAATAGTTCATGCTATGCTTGGGAAGGTTAATCGCGAAAAAATTTATAAATCTAAGTAAATTGGTTACTTTTTAAATGTGATTTTTTTTAATAACTACAAAAAAGGTAAAATGAACCATTTCTTTCTGTATGTTGCAGAATTTGTTTTTTAAATTCATAATTAGATACTGTGAAAGTATTTTTATTCGTGGGTATCAATTTTCGTGGTTTCAGCAAAAGTTACATGTTCGTGGGTTCTTAAATTCGTGGATATTAGTTTTCTGAAGAAGAAAAAAATCGAGTGACGAATTTGAAGACTTCAGAATCGAATATTCATGATATTAATCATATGTTGTTTTATAATGATTTGTGGAGCATTGTTAAATAAGGTGTTCATTTTCACTCACTTGTTCGTCCTTCATTAATAACAAATTCATAATATTTTGAATTGTAGAATCAATTATTATGACATAAAAAAGCAAGCCCAAAATGAAATCAGTATTTTTTTTTTCGTATGAGAATTATGAAAAAAAGGATTATTTCATTATCGCATATCATCACCGGATATCTGACTTTCATCGATAAAACATTATTTCTCATGAGAATTAAAATGTTAACAGTCGTACATTTTAGATTTTTAAAGATTAAATGGGTAAAATCCGGTCTGAAGTTGTACAAAAAAAAATGTATATTTAGTTCATAGTACGTTGGTTTATATGACCGTATCAATGTAATCAAACATACATGGGGATCTTTCCATGTCTGGAATTGGACAACAGTTATTATATTCGTTGGACAGTTAAATTCGTGGATAAAGCCATCCACGAAAACCACGAAAATTGATACCCCACGAATAAAAGTACTTTCACAGTATTTGAAAAGAATTTTGTTTCATTAAAAAGAAATTATCCATGTTATCATTTTCAAATCACACTTTGAAGATCCTGTGCGACTATATTATCATTTTAACAGACTGACTAGAGTGAAGTTACGATTGGTAAGTTCTTTCAAAATAGCAACAAGATTGACACTTCCAACTGTACAAGATCTTGCATTTTCAGTTTTTCCACTTCAACTTCAAATCCACGATAGGAAAATCTTTAAACTCTTAATAAATCTAGCTGATATAAAGTTTTATTTCTGACAGTAAGTATATTCAACCGGTAAGTTTTGTAAAAAAAAAAAAAACGTTTTAGCTACTACATGTAGTATCAAGGCATCAACAAGCCTTAAGTTGCATTTTCCAAAGGAAAAGGCCCAAAATATATGATCAGCGCCATTACTTGATTTTGTTAGACATATTTTAGCCTGTAAGTCTTTTTCGCCTCCATATGACATTGGCTTTCCTTGACTTTTAGACTCTTTACAAAGGACTTAACTCATAAAAGCTATTTTTGTAATGGATATGTACTGCCTCTGGTGCATGGTCAATTAACACTAAACATTATGGTTTATATGGCTATATATATTATTTACTCAATTTATATTTCATGTTTGAGTTGTTTTTCTCGTGTGTTGTCTATATTGCAATTGTTTAATATAAAAAAAAACACTGTACTGTTTATGCCCATAATGGGTTCTCTATTGGAAATAAAAGTTATCTTATCTTATCTTATCTTATCATATACATCTGTGGTTTAGCATGCAATAGTGACGGTGAGCACTTTGTTGACTTGTTTTGGTTATTTATTTCGGGAAATTGGTTAAAGTAAGTACTATTTGTAGTTCCGTAACTATTTCTACCGAGACCGGTCATGTAAATCTTCTTGTCGGCTTACTACCTGTTTCTTGCACGTGCCTGACATCCGGCCGGCTGGGCTTGTTATCCCTTTTAGGAACTATAAATGTTACGTCACTCACCGAATAATTGGACTGTCTACGATTTGGATTTGAAATGATCAGACGCTTAAACTTTTGCTCTCATATATGGAAAACTTATTAGGGCTTGCAACACATAAGACTACTTAATACACGATTTGTTGGTATTGATATAATTTGTTCAATATACCAGAAACAACTGACAGAAAACGAAGCAGTGGAAAACCAACTCCCGTTACAAATACATGTACATACACACACAACAAATAAAATAAACACTAAACTAAACAGATGAGACAATAAAACAGAGTTTAAGAGAAAACTAAAATGAAATGTGTGTCAATATATGTGTTTACAGATCAAATGTGTGTCAATATATGTGTTTACAGATGCAGATAATGTTCAAGAGCAACCCCAAAGAAAATTACACCCAGAACTGCCAGAAAATTCCGTTTATTTTTAAATTGTAAATGGAGAAGTTGCCCTCCCAAAAGTGTTATTTGCTGTTTAAATACAACAGAAAGTGATACCGATAATAATAATTGCCTGATCAAGATGATATATATCCATATATCTGTGACCAACCATGAGGGAGAAGATGATAATGCCAGCGGGAGACATGTGTTGAAGAACACAATAACCAGGAAATTGTTAAATCTGTTGCCATTTTCTACATACAAGTAAATGCCTGTACCAAGTCAGGAATATGACAGTTGTTTTCCATTCGTTTGATGTGTTTCAGCTTTTGATTTTGCCATTTGATAAAGGACTTTCCATTTTAAAGTTCGGTATTTTTGTTATTTTTACTTTTTTTTTGGCAGATAAAAAAAACGCATCTGGTATGGACTTCATGATTTCGAAAAAAATGTGGATAGATGTTTCTAAATGTATGGCCAAAATGATAGCGCTACTTCCCCAAGTTCGACACAGTGTAGGGAAAAGTTCTACTCATTTAAAAGAAGCTGAAGAAAATATATAGTAGACTGCAAAACATAAATGAAACGACGACCCAGCATTTCAACCGCTGATGGTTAAAAGTTGATTTGGTTTCAAAGAAGTAACCATAATAAGGTCAACAATCCAGATGAAAAGGGCGATAACGACGACAACGATGAAGCCATCATCTGCATCAATTAACATCTAATCGCACAGCGCAAGTCACGGCGAGGGGAAGACCTTGATGAATGAAAGGGTAAACAAACGTGAAATTTTTTTTTATTAAACGTTTATAAAATTAAAAAGATTAAAACACCAAATTTTTTAATAACCGTTATGACAAAGTTTAATTGACTAATGGGTACGCATGGAAAACATAAAAAAAAATATATATCGCTCTAGCGCCTCACTTAAATTCCACGTTCCATGAAACTGAGAGTAAGGAGACGACTATTTTTGAAGGAGAGGAATATTGAAAATGAATATTCTGGTCGGGTAACAATTGAAAATCAATCATCTTGCCCAAGACAGGATGGAAATGAATATACTGTCCCACAAAATGTGAGACATAATTATTTTTTTTGCACAGAATAACATGTGAAAACGAATATTTCGTCCACGACAAATCATCTGACCCCTTCCTCAATTTAAATGATTGTCCCCTCAATTTAATAAAATGACGATTTCTAACAGAGTTAGAATCTTTGTCTTGTAAGAAGTGATTTACGACACAACTCTAGTCCAAAAGATATTGACACAATTAGTTATGTGATTATATACTTACCCACAAAGTTGTTTCGGCAACCCGTATGGCTTTCAAATTAACCACGAAAAAATAAGTCGCATGTAGCTACCAGTCTGATTTATATTTAGAAATTTACTTTTGTCAATCCACCAGGCTGAAGCTAGCGAACAATAACTAGCGAACAATAAGCCAGCGAACAATAAGACGATCTATCTAAAAACCGAAAAAATGAATAAGACAGCAACGGCCGTTAAATAAAAAAATATTTAAAAAGGCAGAAATTCCGTCCAAATATTGCAATTTCAAAATTATCATGATTTGGTATTTATCCCATCCATTGATAAAACTAGTCACATCTCTTTTTAGGCTAATATTCAGTACCACAATAAATCTGCATCTGTCAACGGATTATTTGTAGGTGTAAGACCACCAATGCATCTACTTCAATTTAGAACGTATGTAAAAGTAGTCCTTCTCTGTAAAATATAGCACCTTTGATGTCATTGTTTAATTGAACTAAGATACACATTTGCAGAAATGGGGGTTGGCCTATTCCATGGCTTCTAGAGAAAAATAATGAGGGGTGTCACGGGGTATGACTATATAGATCTTGTAGAGGAGAAACAGACGAATCTTTTGCGCAAGGTATCGAAGGGCGCTATGTTAAAAAATCTGAAACTAGAGCTCAAAATTTGAAAAAAAATTGTTAAAAACAGGGGGATTGGCCTATTCCATGGCTTCTAGAGAAAAATAATGAGGGGTGTCACGGGGTATGTCTATATAGGTCTTGTACAGGAGAAACAGGCGCATCTTTTGCGCAAGGTATCGAAGGGCGCTTTGTTCAAAAATCTGAAACTAGAGCTCAAAATTTGAAAAAAATTGTTAAAAACAGGGTGGTTGGCCTATTCCATGGCTTCTAGAGAAAAATAATTAGGAGTGTCACGGGGTATGTCTATATAGGTCTTGTAGAGTAGAAACAGGCGCATATTTTTCGCAAGGTATCGAAGGGCGCTATGTTCAAACATCTGAAACTAGAGCTCAAAATTTGAAAAAAAAGATAAAAACAGGGGGGTTGGCCTATTCCATGGCTTCTAGAGAAAAATAATGAGTTGTGTCACGGGGTATGACTATATAGGTCTTGTAGAAGAGAAACAGGCGCATCTTTTGCACAAGGTATCAAAGGGCGCTTTGTTGAAAAATCTGAAACTAGAGCTCAAAATTTGAAAAAAAATTTGCTAAAAACAGAGTGGTTGGCCTATTCCATGGCTTCTAGAGGAAAATAATGAGGGGTGTAACGGGGTATGTCTATATAGGTCTTGTAGAGGAGAAACAGGCGCATCTTTTGCGCAAGGTATCGAAAGGCGATATGTTCAAAATCTGAAACTAGGGCTCAAAATTTGGAAAAAAAAAGATAAAAACAGGGGGATTGGCCTATTCCATGGCTTCTAGAGAAAAATAATGAGGGGTGTCACGGGGTATGACTATATAGGTCTTGTAGAGGAGAAACAGGCGCATCTTTTGCGCAAGGTATCGAAGGGCGCTTTGTTCAAAAATCTGAAACTAGAGCTCAAAATTTGAAAAAAAAATTGCTAAAAACAGAGTGGTTGGCCTATTCCATGGCTTCTAGAGGAAAATAATGAGTGGTGTCACGGGGTATGACTATATAGGTCTTGTAGAGGAGAAACAGGTGCATCTTTTGCGTAAGGTATCGAAGGGCGCTAGGTTAAAAAATCTGAAACTAGAGCTCAAAATTTGAAAAAAAATTGTTAAAAACAGGGGGGTTGGCCTATTCCATAGCTTCTAGAGGAAAATAATGAGGGGTGTCACGGGGTATGTGTATATAGGTCTTGTAGAGGAGAAACATGCGCATCTTTTGCGCAAGGTATCGAAGGGCGCTATGTTCAAAATCTGAAACTAGGGCTCAAAATTTGGAGAAAAAAAAATAAAAACAGGGGGGTTGGCCTATTCCATGGCTTCTAGAGAAAAATAATGAGGGGTGTCACGGGGTATGACTATATAGGTCTTGTAGAAGAGAAACAGGCGCATCTTTTGCGCAAGGTATTGAAGGGCGCTATGTTAAAAAATCTGAAACTAGAGCTCAAAAGTTTAAAAAAAATTGTTAAAAACAGGGGGGTTGGCCTATTCCATGGCTTCTAGAGGAAAATAATGAGGGGTGTCACGGGGTATGTGTATATAGGTCTTGTAGAGGAGAAACATGCACATCTTTTGCGCAAGGTATCGAAGGGCGCTATGTTCAAAATCTGAAACTAGGGCTCAAAATTTGGAAAAAAAAAATAAAAACAGGGGGGTTGGCCTATTCCATGGCTTCTAGAGAAAAATAATGAGGGGTGTCACGGGGTATGTCTATATAGGTCTTGTACAAGAGAAACATGCGCATCTTTTGCGCAAGGTATTGAAGGGCGCTATGTTAAAAAATCTGAAACTAGAGCTCAAAATTTTTTAAAAAAATGTTAAAAACAGGGGGGTTGGCCTATTCCATGGCTTCTAGAGAAAAATAATGAGGGGTGTCATGGGGTATGACTATATAGGTCTTGCAGAGGAGAAACAGGGACATCTTTTGCGCAAGGTATCGAAGGGCGCTATGTTCAAAAACCTGAAACTAGAGCTCAAAATTTGAAAAAAAAATTGTTAAAAACAGGGGGATTGGCCTATTCCATGGCTTCTAGAGAAAAATAATGAGGGGTGTCACGGGGTATGTGTATATAGGTCTTGTAGAAGAGAAAAATGCGCATCTTTTGCGCAAGGTATCGAAGGGCGCTATGTTCAAAAATCTGAAACTAGAGCTCAAAATTTGAAAAAAATTGTTAAAAACAGGGTGGTTGGCCTATTCCATGGCTTCTAGAGAAAAATAATTAGGAGTGTCACGGGGTATGTCTATATAGGTCTTGTAGAGTAGAAACAGGCGCATATTTTTCGCAAGATATCGAAGGGCGCTATGTTCAAACATCTGAAACTACAGCTCAAAATTTGAAAAAAAAATGTTAAAAACAGGGGGGTTGGCCTATTCCATGGCCTCTAGAGAAAAATAATGAGGAATGTCACGGGGTATGACTATATAGGTCTTGCAGAGGAGAAACAGGCGCATCTTTTGCGCAAGGTATCGAAGGGCGCTATGTTCAAAAATCTGAAACTAGAGCTCAAAATTTGAAAAAAAAAGATAAGGGGGGTTGGCCTATTCCATGGCTTCTAGAGAAAAATAATGAGTGGTGTCACGGGGTATGACTATATAGGTCTTGTAGAAGAGAAACAGGCGCATCTTTTGCACAAGGTATCGAAGGGCGCTTTGTTGAAAAATCTGAAACTAGAGCTCAAAATTTGAAAAAAAAATTGCTAAAAACAGAGTGGTTGGCCTATTTCATGGCTTCTAGAGGAAAATAATGAGTGGTGTCACGAGGTATGACTATATAGGTCTTGTAGAGGAGAAACAGGTGCATCTTTTGCGTAAGGTATCGAAGGGCGCTAGGTTAAAAAATATGAAACTAGAGCTCAAAATTTGAAAAAAAATTGTTAAAAACAGGGGGGTTGGCCTATTCCATGGCTTCTAGAGGAAAATAATGAGGGGTGTCACGGGGTATGTGTATATAGGTCTTGTAGAGAAGAAACATGCGCATCTTTTGCGCAAGGTATCGAAGGGCGCTATGTTCAAAATCTGAAACTAGGGCTCAAAATTTGGAAAAAAAAAATAAAAACAGGGGGGTTGGCCTATTCCATGGCTTCTAGAGAAAAATAATGAGGGGTGTCACGGGGTATGACTATATAGGTCTTGTAGAAGAGAAACAGGCGCATCTTTTGCGCAAGGTATTGAAGGGCGCTATGTTAAAAAATCTCAAACTAGAGCTCAAAATTTTTAAAAAAATTGTTAAAAACAGGGGAGTTGGCCTATTCCATGGCTTCTAGAGAAAAATAATGAGGGGTGTCACGGGGTATGACTATATAGGTCTTGCAGAGGAGAAACAGGCGCATCTTTTGCGCAAGGTATCGAAGGGCGCTATGTTCAAAAATCTGAAACTAGAGCTCAAAATTTGAAAAAAAAATTGTTAAAAACAGGGGGATTGGCCTATTCCATGGCTTCTAAAGAAAAATAATGAGGGGTGTCACGGGGTATGTCTATATAGGTCTTGTAGAGGAGAAACAGGGACATCTTTTGCGCAAGGTATCGAAGGGCGCTATGTTCAAAAATCTGAAACTAGAGCTCAAAATTTGAAAAAAAAATTGTTAAAAACAGGGGGATTGGCCTATTCCATGGCTTCTAGAGAAAAATAATGAGGGGTGTCACGGGGTATGTGTATATAGGTCTTGTAGAGGAGAAAATGCGCATCTTTTGCGCAAGGTATCGAAGGGCGCTATGTTCAAAAATCTGAAACTAGAGCTCAAAATTTGAAAAAAATTGTTAAAAACAGGGTGGTTGGCCTATTCCATGACTTCTAGAGAAAAATAATTAGGAGTGTCACGGGGTATGTCTATATAGGTCTTGTAGAGTAGAAACAGGCGCATATTTTTCGCAAGGTATCGAAGGGCGCTATGTTCAAACATCTGAAACTAGAGCTCAAAATTTGAAAAAAAATTGTTAAAAACAGGGGGGTTGGCCTATTCCATGGCCTCTAGAGAAAAATAATGAGGGATGTCACGGGGTATGACTATATAGGTCTTGCAGAGGAGAAACAGGCGCATCTTTTGCGCAAGGTATCGAAGGGCGCTATGTTCAAAAATCTGAAATTTGGGCCCAAATTTGGAAAAAAAAGATAAAAACAGGGGGGTTGGCCTATTCCATGGCTTCTAGAGAAAAATAATGAGTGGTGTCACGGGGTATGACTATATTGGTCTTGTAGAAGAGAAACAGGCGCATCTTTTGCACAAGGTATCGAAGGGCGCTTTGTTGAAAAATCTGAAACTAGAGCTCAAAATTTGAAAAAAAAATTGCTAAAAACAGAGTGGTTGGCCTATTCCATGGCTTCTAGAGGAAAATAATGAGTGGTGTCACGGGGTATGACTATATAGGTCTTGTAGAGGAGAAACAGGTGCATCTTTTGCGTAAGGTATCGAAGGGCGCTAGGTTAAAAAATCTGAAACTAGAGCTCAAAATTTGAAAAAAAATTGTTAAAAATAGGGGGGTTGGCCTATTCCATGGCTTCTAGAGGAAAATAATGAGGGGTGTCACGGGGTATGTGTATATAGGTCTTGTAGAGGAGAAACATGCGCATCTTTTGCGCAAGGTATCGAAGGGCGCTATGTTCAAAATCTGAAACTAGGGCTCAAAATTTGGAAAAAAAAAATAAAAACAGGGGGGTTGGCCTATTCCATGACTTCTAGAGAAAAATAATGAGGGGTGTCACGGGGTATGACTATATAGGTCTTGTAGAAGAGAAACAGGCGCATCTTTTGCGCAAGGTATTGAAGGGCGCTATGTTAAAAAATCTGAAACTAGAGCTTAAAATTTAAAAAAAAATTGTTAAAAACAGGGGGGTTGGCCTATTCCATGGCTTCTAGAGAAAAATAATGAGGGGTGTCACGGGGTATGTGTATATAGGTCTTGTAGAGGAGAAAAATGCGCATCTTTTGCGCAAGGTATCGAAGGGCGCTATGTTCAAAATCTGAAACTAGGGCTCAAAATTTGGAAAAAAAAGATAAAAACAGGGGGGTTGGCCTATTCCATGGCTTCTAGAGAAAAATAATGAGGGGTGTCACGGGGTATGACTATATAGGTCTTGTAGAGGAGAAACAGGCGCATCTTTTGCGCAAGGTATTGAAAGGCGCTATGTTAAAAAATCTGAAACTAGAGCTCAAAATTTGAAAAAAAATTGTTAAAAACAGGGGGGTTTGCCTATTCCATGGCTTCTAGAGAAAAATAATGAGGAGTGTCACGGGGAATGACTATATAGGTCTTGCAGAGGAGAAACAGGCGCATCTTTTGCGCAAGGTATCGAAGGGCGCTATGTTCAAACATCTGAAAGTAGAGCTCAAAATTTGAAAAAAAAATTGTTAAAAACAGGGGGATTGGCCTATTCCATGGCTTCTAGAAAAAAATAATGAGGGGTGTCACGGAGTATGTCTATATAGGTCTTGTAGAGGAGAAACAGGCGCATCTTTTGCGCAAGGTATCGAAGGGCGCTATGTTCAAAAATCTGAAACTAGAGCTCAAAATTTGAAAAAAAAATGTTAAAAACAGGGGGATTGGCCTATTCCATGGCTTCTAAAGAAAAATAATGAGGGGTGTCACGGGGTGTCACGGGGTGTCACGGGGTATGTCTATATAGGTCTTGTAGAGGAGAAACAGGGACATCTTTTGCGCAAGGTATCGAAGGGCGCTATGTTCAAAAATCTGAAACTAGAGCTCAAAATTTGAAAAAAAATTGTTAAAAACAGGGGGATTGGCGTATTCCATGGCTTCTAGAGAAAAATAATGAGGGGTGTCACGGGGTATGTCTATATAGGTCTTGTAAAGGAGAAACAGGCGCATCTTTTGCGCAAGGTATCGAAGGGCGCTATGTTCAAAAATCTGAAACTAGAGCTCAAAATTTGAAAAAAATTGTTAAAAACAGGGTGGTTGGCCTATTCCATGGCTTCTAGAGAAAAATAATTAGGAGTGTCACGGGGTATGTGTATATAGGTCTTGTAGAGTAGAAACAGGCGCATATTTTTCGCAAGGTATCGAAGGGCGCTATGTTCAAACATCTGAAACTAGAGCTCAAAATTTGAAAAAAAATTGTTAAAAACAGGGGGGTTGGCCTATTCCATGGCCTCTAGAGAAAAATAATGAGGGATGTCACAGGGTATGACTATATAGGTCTTGCAGAGGAGAAACAGGCGCATCTTTTGCGCAAGGTATCGAAGGGCGCTATGTTCAAAAATCTGAAATTTGGGCTCAAAATTTGGAAAAAAAAAGATAAAAACAGGGGGGTTGGCCTATTCCATGGCTTCTAGAGAAAAATAATGAGTGGTGTCACGGGGTATGACTATATAGGTCTTGTAGAAGAGAAACAGGCGCATCTTTTGCACAAGGTATCGAAGGGCGCTTTGTTGAAAAATCTGAAACTAGAGCTCAAAATTTGAAAAAAAAATTGCTAAAAACAGAGTGGTTGGCCTATTCCATGGCTTCTAGAGGAAAATAATGAGTGGTGTCACGGGGTATGACTATATAGGTCTTGTAGAGGAGAAACAGGTGCATCTTTTGCGTAAGGTATCGAAGGGCGCTATGTTAAAAAATCTGAAACTAGAGCTCAAAATTTGAAAAAAAATTGTTAAAAACAGGGGGGTTGGCCTATTCCATGGCTTCTAGAGGAAAATAATGAGGGGTGTCACGGGGTATGTGTATATAGGTCTTGTAGAGGAGAAAAATGCGCATCTTTTGCGCAAGGTATCGAAGGGCGCTATGTTCAAAATCTGAAACTAGGGCTCAAAATTTGGAAAAAAAAGATAAAAACAGGGGGGTTGGCCTATTCCATGGCTTCTAGAGAAAAATAATGAGGGGTGTCACGGGGTATGACTATATAGGTCTTGTAGAGGAGAAACAGGCGCATCTTTTGCGCAAGGTATTGAAGGGCGCTATGTTAAAAAATCTGAAACTAGAGCTCAAAATTTGAAAAAAAATTGTTAAAAACAGGGGGGTTTGCCTATTCCATGGCTTCTAGAGAAAAATAATGAGGAGTGTCACGGGGAATGACTATATAGGTCTTGCAGAGGAGAAACAGGCGCATCTTTTGCGCAAGGTATCGAAGGGCGCTATGTTCAAACATCTGAAAGTAGAGCTCAAAATTTGAAAAAAAAATTGTTAAAAACAGGGGGATTGGCCTATTCCATGGCTTCTAGAAAAAAATAATGAGGGGTGTCACGGAGTATGTCTATATAGGTCTTGTAGAGGAGAAACAGGCGCATCTTTTGCGCAAGGTATCGAAGGGCGCTTTGTTAAAAAATCTGAAACTAGAGCTCAAAATTTGAAAAAAATTGTTAAAAACAGGTTGGGTGGCCTATTCCATGGCTTCTAGAGAAAAATAATTAGAAGTGTCACGGGGTATGTCTATATAGGTCTTGTAGAGTAGAAACAGGCGCATCTTTTGCGCAAGGTATCGAAGGGCGCTTTATTCAAACATCTGAAACTAGAGCTCAAAATTTGAAAAAAAATTGTTAAAAACAGGGGGGTTGGCCTATTCCATGGCTTCTAGAGAAAAGTAATGAGTGGTGTCACGGGGTATGACTATATAGGTCTTGCAGAGGAGAAACAGGCGCATCTTTTGCGCAAGGTATCGAAGTGCGCTATGTTCAAAAATCTGAAACTAGGGCTCAAAATTTGGAAAAAAAAGATAAAAACAGGGGGGTTGGCCTATTCCATGGCTTCTAGAGAAAAATAATGAGTGGTGTCACGGGGTATGACTATATAGGTCTTGTAGAGAAGAAACAGGCGCATCTTTTGCGCAAGGTATCGAAGGGCGCTTTGTTCAAAAATCTGAAACTAGAGCTCAACATTTGAAAAAAAATTTGCTAAAAACAGAGTGGTTGGCCTATTCCATGGCTTCTAGAGGAAAATAATGAGGGGTGTAACGGGGTATGTCTATATAGGTCTTGTAGAGGAGAAACAGGCGCATCTTTTGCGCAAGGTATCGAAAGGCGCTATGTTCAAAATCTGAAACTAGGGCTCAAAATTAAAAAAAAAAGATAAAAACAGGGGGGGTTGGCCTATTCCATGGTTTCTAGAGAAAAATAATGAGGGGTGTCACGGAGTATGACTATATAGGTCTAGTAGAGGAGAAACAGGCGCATCTTTTCCGTAAGGTATTGAAGGGCGCTATGTTCAAAAATCTAAAACTAGGGCTCAAAATTAGGAAAAAAAAAGATAAAAACAAGGTGTTGGCCTATTCCCTGGCTTCTAGAGAAAAATAATGAGGGGTGTCACGGGGTATGACTATATAGGTCTTGTAGAGGAGAAACAGGTGCATCTTTTGCGTAAGGTATCGAAGGGCGCTAGGTTCAAAAATCTGAAACTAGAGCTCAAAATTTGAAAAAAAATTGTTAAAAACAGGGGGGTTGGCCTATTCCATGGCTTCTAGAGAAAAATAATGAGGAGTGTCACGGGGTATGTTTATATAGGTCTTGTAGAGGAGAAACAGGCGCATCTTTTGCGCAAGGTATCGAAGGGCGCTATGTTCAAAAATCTGAAACTAGGGCTCAAAATTTGGAAAAAAAAGATAAAAACAAGGGGGTTGGCCTATTCCATGGATTCTAGAGAAAAATAATGAGGGGTGTCACGGGGGATGTCTATATAGTAGAGGAGAAACAGGCGCATATTTTGCGCACGATATCGAAGGACGCTATGTTCAAAAATCTGAAACTAGGGCTCAAAATTTGAAAAAAATTGTTAAAAACAAAGGGGTTGGCCTATTCCATGGCTTCTAGAGAAAAATAATGAGGGGTGTCAAGGGGTATGTCTATATCGGTCTTGTAGAGGAGAATTAGGCGCATCTTTTGCGCAAGGTATCGAAGGGCGCTATGTTCAAACATCAGAAACTAGAGCTCAAAATTAAAAAAAAAATTGTTAAAAACAGGGGGGTTGGCCTATTCCATGGCTTCTAGAGAAAAATAATGAGGGGTGTCACGGGGTATGTCTATATAAGTCTTGTAGAAGAGAAACAGGCGCATCTTTTGCGCAAGGTATCGAAGGGCGCTATGTTCAAAAATCTGAAACTAAGGCTCAAAATTTGGAACTAAAGATAAAAACAGGGGGGTTGGCCTATTCCATGGCTTCTAGAGAAAAATAATGAGTGGTGTCACGGGGTATGAATTTATAGGTCTTGTAGAAGAGAAACCAGCGCATCTTTTGCGCAAGGTATTGAAGGGCGCTTTGTTCAAAAATCTGAAACTAGAGCTCAAAATTTGAAAAAAATTTTGCCAAAAACAGAGAGGTTGGCCTATTCCATGGCTTCTAGAGGAAAATATCGAGGAGTGTCACGGGGTATGTCTATATAGGTCTTGTAGAGGAGAAAGAGTCGCATCTTTTGCGCAAGGTATCGACATGCGCTATGTTCAAAATCTGAAACTAGGGCTCAAAATTTGGAAAAAAAAGATAAAAACAGGGGGGTTGGCCTATTCCATGGCTTCTATAGAAAAATAATGAAGGGTGTCACGAGGTATGACTATATAGGTCTAGTAGAAGAGAAACAGGCGATCTTTTGCGCAAGGTATCGAAGGGCGCTATGTTCAAAAATCTGAAACTAGAGCTCAAAATTTGAAAAAAAAATTGTTAAAAACAGGGGGGTTGGCCTATTCCATGGCTTCTAGAGAAAAAAAATGAGAGTGTCACGGGGTATGTCTATATAGGTCTTGTAGAGGAGAAACAGGCGCATATTTTGCGCAAGGTATCGAAGGGTGCTATGTTCAAAAATCTGAAACTAGGGCTCAAAATTTGAAAAAAATTGTTAAAAACAAAGGGGTTGGCCTATTCCATGGCTTCTAGAGAAAAATAATGAGGGGTGTCACGGTGAATGACTATAAAGGTCTTGTAGAGGAGAAACAGGCGCATCTTTTGCGTAAGGTATCGAAGGGAGCTATGTTCAAAAATCTGAAACTAGAGCTCAAAATTTGGAAAAAAATTTGCCAAAAACAGAGAGGTTGGCCTATTCCATGGCTTCTAGAGGAAAATATCGAGGAGTGTCACGGGGTATGTCTATATAGGTCTTGTAGAGGAGAAAGAGTCGCATCTTTTGCGCAAGGTATCGAAATGCGCTATGTTCAAAATCTGAAACTAGGGCTCAAAATTTGGAAAAAAAAGATAAAAACAGGGGGGTTGGCCTATTCCATGGCTTCTATAGAAAAATAATGAAGGGTGTCACGAGGTATGACTATATAGGTCTAGTAGAAGAGAAACAGGCGATCTTTTGCGCAAGGTATCGAAGGGCGCTATGTTCAAAAATCTGAAACTAGAGCTCAAAATTTGAAAAAAAAATTGTTAAAAACAGGGGGGTTGGCCTATTCCATGGCTTCTAGAGAAAAAAAATGAGAGTGTCACGGGGTATGTCTATATAGGTCTTGTAGAGGAGAAACAGGCGCATATTTTGCGCAAGGTATCGAAGGGTGCTATGTTCAAAAATCTGAAACTAGGGCTCAAAATTTGAAAAAAATTGTTAAAAACAAAGGGGTTGGCCTATTCCATGGCTTCTAGAGAAAAATAATGAGGGGTGTCACGGTGAATGACTATAAAGGTCTTGTAGAGGAGAAACAGGCGCATCTTTTGCGTAAGGTATCGAAGGGAGCTATGTTCAAAAATCTGAAACTAGAGCTCAAAATTTGGAAACAAATTGTTAAAAACAGGGGGATTGGCCTATTCCATGGCTTCTAGAGAAAAATAATGAGGGATGTCACGGGGTATGTATATATATGTCTTGTAGAAGAGAAACAGGCGCATATTTTGCGCAAGGTATCGAAGGGCGCTATGTTAAAAAATCTGAAACTAGGGGTCGAAATTTGAAAAAATTGGGAAAAAAACCGGGGGTAGGCCTATTCCATGGCTTGTAGAGAAAAATAATGATGGGTGTCACGGTTTACGACTATATAGGTCTTGTAGAAGAGAAACAGGCGCATCGTTTGCGCAAGGTTTCGAGTGGCGCTATGTTAAAAAATCTGAAACTAGGGCTCGAAATTTGAAAAATTTGAGGAAAAAGTCGCGGGGTTGGCCTATTCCATGGCTTCTAGAGAAAAATAATGAGGGATGTCACGGAGTATGGCTATATAGGTCTTCGTATAGGAGAAACAGGCGCATCGTTTGCACAAGGTTTCGAGTGGCGCTATGTTAAAAAATCTGAAACTAGGACTCGAAATTTATAAAGCTTTTTGTTAATTGAAATTTGTGTTGATCTTTAAGCTTTTGGTGTTTTGACCCTATGGACCACTGGTTCTTCAATATTTTTTTTTTAAATTTGAAACCCTGTCCATGTTATAGTTTATGTCTAGTTAATAGTAGTTGTGGAGGTACACCAGACAGATGCAGTGAAATAGTGAGCTTGCTGAAATATACAAATAAAAGTGTAATGCCTCTCATGTTTTCATCTTTAAAATACACATATATATATATATATGGACAGATATGCACATATCAACATTGTAATATAAAATGCTGCTTAATTTCATTTGTAATGTATTTTAGCCATCAATGACAATAATGTCCAATGAAAGACTTGTTGGAATGGATCTTTGAAGCGTGGTTCTATTACTAAAAAAAACACAAATTCTAACAACCACATTCCGTTAAGACATTGCTGTGTATTTCTACACCCCTGATTTCTACCAAACGGTCACAAATATAAAAATTAGATGATGTGGTATGATTACCAATGAGACAATTTTCTACCAGAGATCAAATGTGGTAAATTTAAGCAACATTAGGTCACTATACCGTTTTCAACATTAACAAAAACTCATACCGTACGTATTACGGCCCAAAAATGACAAAATGTAAAATAATTCAAATGAAAAAATTAAAGAAACCAACAATAAACGAAAAACATTTTTATAAAAGACAGCGACCATGATGGGTAAACTGTCGAAAGGCGGAGTCTAGGATTGCCAAAATTTATATGCAAGTCAACCCTCGGGTTGTAATCACCAACAGTAAATCAAGAAGGTTCTGCAAAATGGTAGGTCCGGAATTAAGGAGGAAAATTATTGGCTGCCATTGAAAAAAATAAGACAGAAATGTTCTGCAACAGTTCCCGACACCAATCCCCCCAAAGGATTGTTCTTCAAACCGAAGTAAGCGTGTCATTATACCTTACTAGGTTGGAAACTGGTTTCTGATCAAACGAAAATAACTGACAGAATCATAATCACCTCTCAAAACGCCATGGTTTTAGGGGACGGCCAATTGATTTTCAGGGGAGAGGGAGAGACAGTTTAATTTTGAAAATGAATATCCTGACCTTGGAAGAACCTGAAAATAAATAATCTTGCACCAGACAGGATCATAATGCATATTCTGCAATACGAAATTTTGAAAATAGTTTTGTACAAATGTAAAAATAAATTTTCAAACGGCAAAGCGAAAAAGATTAAGAACGCGCAGCAACAGATGGAAATGACTACTTAATCTGCAAACAATCCCTCTCCTCCTCCCCAAACCGAATATCGAATGGTCGTCCCCATATACACATGATACAGATTCGGTGGTATTTTAGTTTAGGATCAGCTTAATGTGTTGTACTTTTATACGTTAGGGGTTTGCCAAAATGAGTGAAGGATGGTGGCAAGTATACGTTGATTTTGGACTGGGGAGGAGAGAAGATTATGTTTGCGCGTACAGTCGGCCGAGCAAAGAGATCGGGCGGTAGGGGAAATTGAAACCTACGCCGGCAGTATAAGGTGTTCAACTATTGAATACAGTACTCGCAAAGAGGGTATGATTTCAACGACTATGAATTGGTGTGAACCCTGAAACAAGTGGCAAATCAAAGCGTAGTGGAGTGGTATATTGAGTGAGGGGACTATGGTACATGTGCAGGAAGATCCTTGCTAAATGTAGTCGAAAGTTGTCACAGTTTTTATTTTTTATCATAGTAAAAAACTAACCTTTAACAAAAGCTGTTAATTCTGTTTCGCTGATGTCTTATTATCCAAATCCTTGCTGACTGTATCTTCGATCTTGGATCTATATAGTACCTAGGTACTAACCAGGTAAACAGTATATTTATTTTATTTTCTTGTCGATTTGTTTTTATAACACCGTTAACATAATCATTACGATATGGTTGAGGACAGTTTACGAACTAAGAAGGCATGCATGCGATGGCGTATATTCCTCTTGCAGCTGTGCTGAGTGTACTAGTTTTGCAATTGACTTATAAAACAGAACAGGTTCAAAATGCAGTTGAAAACACCCTTTTTATGTCTGTTGTAGGGTTTTAATAACGTATTTATGAATCTAGGTCCCAAGCTCTTGCTTGATGCATTGGATGCGAGCCTTTCGGTACGTTTGCTATCCAGTGTCTACTTCAATCATTCATTTAACTTCTATAGGAGCATACTGGAACTTTTTAAAAGGACTGTTATGAAATTGTATCAACCCCTCACCATCGTAGAATGAGATGTCTTCCTTGTTTCGAGTACAGACCATTTCCATAGATGGAAGATTATTTACCTGGGATGAGGTACAGATCGTTACAACGAGCATTTGCACAGCAAACATCACCTCCATGTTTAAGATAGAGCGCTTCCTTTACCACTCAACTCATCAACCCCCCCCCCCCCCCCCCCCCCAACCAACCAACCAACCAACCAACCAAGGCAGGTACTGTGGATTCATTCGTGGGATGTCAATTTTTGTTGATCTCGTGGATACAGGTGAACCACGAATCGAAATGCTCAACAAATTACAAATATTGTATAGGCCTGTATGCAAACCTTAGTAAAACAACGAAATCAAATATCTACGAAAATACTAAGTTTCCTCAAACCACGAAAATTGGAACCCACGAAAACTAATGAATCCACAGTAGTACGGTTTTCGCTAACACGGGAAGCGCTCTCATTGCTAAATCTATTAACATGGGTAAGAATCCAACTTTCTTTTGCATGTTTTGTTTTAGCTGTTTTTTGACAACTTTAAAGTCCACTATGTAATGTTGTGATTAGGTTAGTGTCGCACTCAGCATAGTTCGATTGGCATTGGTGTTGATTTTGTTTGGGTGTTTGTTGAGTCGTAGTTGTCTTCGCAACACGTCGTTGATGTCTTCGATAGTGTAAAAACCAGGGTTCAACGCAATAGTAGATCAACGTCTAGGAGTTACTTTTATCGTTCGAATAAACGAAAGCTGTTTTTCCCCGCATGAGTGTTTGGGAAAGAATAGTAAGTCTACAACTTTACCAGACCTATCTCGTAACTCTTTCCACTTTTGAGGTGAATGGGTTGATTGAACCGAGTGTCGATTTTGTCATAACCGGACGCGATGAAAAAAACCTTTGTTCAGGAGATGTGCTGTCGACGATTGGTCATAACAACTCGTTATCCATTTATTTACTTTAAACACAACATTCATCTTTTGTCTGTCAAACTCGAACTGCAAAACGTTTGTGTGTTTGCTGGGACATTGCGCTCGAATTCTGCTCTGATTTAATTGTCATCCTCAGATTTT